TTTTTTTTTTTTTTTTTTTTTTTTTTTTTTTTTTTTTTTTTCAAGTTCGTTCGTAGTCTGCTCTTGCAAGTCCGTCTCTCAATTTTTCAATCCGGCGCAGGCTCTATATGCCACATGAGTTGCTCACGCCCCTAGGATCTTACCAGCGGGTAACGACGCCGGGTTCGTTCGAACCGTCTCACTCTGCACGTTCCAATGAATTCAATGGATGCATGCAAATATCTTGCTGCACGAGTTGCAGGAACGAAACATAGCACGAAACGTCGGGGAGGTTCGCATGCCAAAAGCAGCACGCTGCGGCGATAACTTTGCTCTGAACTCGTATTCAATTTGACGCCGTCCGTGCCATGCTTCTATAATGTGAACTTGGACGGCAACTTTGTGCGCACTAGGCCCTTCGGTCTTCCGAACAGACTTTTTCCCCATTTCCTTCGCCGTGTCCGTCTTCGCACCGTGGTGCATCCTCAGAGCCCCGTATAAGCTTTGGGCAATGTGTGACATTCCACCTAGGCATTTTGGTCTGGGCCATAGATACACTCATCTCGTACATGGCCGTTTCTTGCACCGTATGTGTTCGTTAAATTAAAAATAATTGAAGAAGAAAACAGGGTGTGTCTTAAAGCTTCTTTGTTGTCGCATTTGATCTCTCTATGCGGGTTTCTCTCAACACACATGTATGTGCCGGTACCTAGTCTAGCGACTCGCAATTGCGAATTTTGAACATGTGAATCGGCCGCTGTTGATAGCTATGGCCTGGTATCTGGTTCCAAGATCTTTCACACATAAAAACGCCCAGTCCGTAGTTGTAAATACCCGTCCAGTTCGTTGAAGAATCCTGGACAGCTTTCCAAGTAATTTTTTTTTCGTCTCCTTCGAATGTCTGGCCATCTTAGACCTTGTATATGTATATACATACTCTCACGCAGAGTACGTCTGCTTCGGGTAAGGATAGCTTGGACCCAGTTCCTGAATGCTCAATTTGGCAAGCCACTGGCCCATATCCACGCAGGTAGCCAGGTCCTTGCCTTGTACGATGCCAGCGACAAAGCCTCCGGCAAAAGCGTCGCTATTTTAATTTTCGAGTCGTCAGCATACGTGCCATCCAGTTTGAATGTTGGTTTTGTGTGTGTGTGTGTGTGTGTGTGTGGGAGAGGAGGAGAAAAAACAAAAGCCTTACCCGGCACCGTTGGTGTCGCAAATCTGCTCCTTCGCGATCGCATGTACAGGATACTCATGCACGACCACCTCGCCGTCGTGGGCCTGCTCCGCGACGACGGTTGGCTCCGTGCCCTGGGTGATGACCACGTATCGCTTTCGCTTGGTGTTCTTCTTGGGCAGGTTGACCAGGTGCTTGGCAATGTCCTGCACCGTCGACGTCTCGGGCAGGCCGTGGCTCTTCGCCCAGGCCTCCGCCTCCGTCTCGTTGCCGATCAGATAGTCCCAGTACGGGCTGGTCTGGTCGAGCTGGTCCTTGAAGAACTGCGGAATGAACGGGGCGCTGAGGTTGAGGACGAAGATCTTGTTCTTCGCAGCGGCCTCCTCCGCGAGCGCCATGATGGCGGGCACGCAAACCGTCAAGTGGTAGCCGCCGACGTAAAACACCTTGGCCTGCTCGGCCAGCGCCCAGATGTGCGGCTGCTGCAGGTGATCGAGCTTGTAGCAGTTGGCCGCCGCCAGGTCTGTGCACAAGGAGCGGTTAGAACCCGTGATGACGACGCCGCAACGGCCGGTGGGATGTTCGTCGTCGACGCGGTACTCGACCCGGACACCCTGTCGCTCCGACTCGGTCCGCAGCGTGTCCGCGTATTCGTCCTTGCCAACGCAGCCAAGGTAGACGACCGACTTCTCGGGCAGGATGTACTGTCACCCAATCAATACTTTAATACTCTCTCTCCCTCTCTCTCTCTCTCTCTCTCTCTCTCTCTCTCTATCCATCTCTACGCAAGCCAATTTTGAAAAAAGCGTTGCTTACCGCGGCACCCCGAGCCGTGTTTTGCGCGGCACCACCGGGGATGAGCTTCGCATCGGTCTTCAACAGATCCTCGTACAGACCCATGTGCTTCTCTTCGGCAAGGATGGCATCGTTTGGCTTGAGGTCGTACTTCTTCAATAGCTCCTCGTTTCTGTTTCACGGTCAGCAAACCGTCCTCATTTTCGAGCAGGAAAGAAATGCCTTGCCCTCCTTGGATGTCAAGCAGTGGATTTTCGAGACAAAGGAGCTCGTAATTCCCAGCCATCCTTACTTTGCGGTTCTCTGTCTTTGGTATGGATATTTTGTTCCTTCTGCAAGAGTTTCTTGTACGAAGTTCGGCGTTGTATATCAATCTGCGAAGAAAAATAACATGAGCCTGCCGGTTTCGGAGTGCGGGGTGTGCCTTGCATCAGGTACTTGCTGTGCTACGCAGCCAAAGTTAGAATTGACGCCGCCTACCAAAATAAAGAGGTAAAAGGAAAAACATAAAATAAAACCTGGCGCAGAGAATCGTTTCTTGTGCGCACTGATGATTTATACGTCGCGAATGGAAACAGTCTCTAATTCGTGTTTTGGTCATTATCTGGAGTTAGGCAACGCCTTGTACATAGGTTTGGATCTTAGCAGAGCCATCACGGACAAAAATAATTTACACGTTTTTCCGTATCAACGTCTCTTGGAAGCATTCAAGGCAGAGCGTACATACATGCGCTGTTGACTCTGACGGCATAGCTGCGGTTCCTTCCCGGCTCACTTTCTGCCTCTGCCTTGTGCGCTGGACTCCGTTTTCTCTCCATTCCCATATGCAGAGTACGTCCAGTGAGGACGACTGGACGTTGTTCTTTCGCAACAGACCACCAAAATTAGCCGTTGCATCAGCTCCCCAAGTCTGCACCCGGGAAAGGCATTTGATTTTGTCTTCCCAGCTTTGAATCTGCCAGGAATCCAAGGAAGCCCGGTTTTCATTTGCAACACGAACACGACGCAACCGACGCCCCTTCAAGTCCCGTTGACCATCTTCGCGGCATCGGACTTCTCTATCTCAGCCATCACCACGTCAACTATCCTCTTGAATCCAGCGATCTCTTCGTCGGCGTCCCCTCCACGGCCGGCACCGGCAAAACTCATTGAATTGCCCACGTACGCGGGCTTCCCCGTCTTGCGAGCGATCGTCGACGCCATCCTGGTCGCCAAATCTAGCGTCCGGGTCTGGCTGTAAAGCGGAGTCGTGAGAGGCGGCGACGAAGGGTTCCGCTACACAGCGTCCGCGTTAGCATCAAGATTCAAGAGCAGACGCATGTAGAAACGAACGGTTGGAGGGGAGGGGGAGAGGGTGGCCAATCGACGTGGTCGCATACATTTGGGATGGCGTAAACAAAGCTTCCCAGCGGACAGCTCGTCGGTGCAGCATCCGTTTCCGACGTGGTGAGGAACAGCACCGTGTTCGTCCTTTGGACGGTCAGGTGGAGATGAATTCGGATCGATGGGGCGTACGGCAGCGGCAGAGACAGCTGTGTTGGCGCAGAAATAAGCTCACTCGACCCGCCAACCGACTGGTCTTCTGCCATTGTGCGAAGCGAGCTGTCTAGTGCAGCGGAAAAAATTTTTTTGTGCAGCCGGACAGGACGGCCTTGTGGTGAGCAACTTCAAGCTTGGACGCAGATGTCGCATATACAGTATCTAACTTATGGAGTTGTAGGAGCTTTGACCAGTTCTCAGAAAAAATTGGGTCGGGTCCGGGTCACGCCTCGAGCATGGCGGCCTCTTTGATTTCATACCGTACCAAGCCAAATTTGTTTGCTGTCTTGATCGGCCTTTCGACAGGCTTTCACGCATCCCTGTGTTTTGTGTGACGTGTGTATAGAAAAGCACATCGTTGGCAGCATCATCATCATCATCTTCGCGATCATTACACTCGCCGTGTGGTATATCGTTGCGTCTCACGTGTCACACAAAAATTCAACTTACGACAGCCGCAAACCCCCTTTTTTGTTCAACCCGCCAGTCACCTGGGACTCGGCATCAAAAGAGATCGGAAGAAATTTTCAAGACATGCAAAGCGACGGGCCTGTGGAGGGGTACGATCGCACATCGGACGCAGAGTTCGATCCGCTCGCCGACCCCGAGGAACGACGCGTCTTGTACGCAGCCATCAATTCGTTCCAGTGCGTTTCTCATTTTCCAGCAAAAAGTCTGGCCGCATGTATATATGTACACATCTTTGCTCACATAGCCGCAGCCGATACCGTGAACAGGCGCATTTCCACGTCACGCACAAGCGTCGACAAGCGTTTTATGCCTTGCCGCAGAAGCACTGGCAGCTTCTGTCCGCTCCGCCTTTCAACCTGCTGTCGACGCTGGAGGAGATCGATCATGCCATTGAGGTCAACGCCAAGATAGCCGAAGCCTTTGTCGCGAGCGGGGTTGCCATGTACGGCCTGGACGAACCTCCAAACGAGCCGCCGTACAGCCATGCCGAGTCAGAGGGTGAGATCAGTCACTCGACACGTGCAGATTGGCAGGGCCCAGCGCTTCCGCACGATCAGGAAAAGGCTCACAGCACGGTCAAGCAGCTGTACCGCGATTGGAGCGCCGAAGGCGCGCCCGAAAGACGTGCCTGCTACGATCCGGTCATCGCAGCTCTGGACGAAGAGTACAAGTCCATCCCTCGTTCGCAGCGAGGGGTCGTCCGAGTGCTCGTTCCCGGCGCTGGCCTCGGTCGCTTCGTCTACGAAGCAACCAAGGCGGGCTACGCTGTGGAGGGCAACGAGATCTCGTACCATCAGCTCGTCGCGTCCAACCACATGCTCAACCACACCACGCATGCCGGGCAGTACGAACTATATCCTTGGATCCACGGTTTCTCCAACCACGTCAACAGGCAGGACCAGCTGCGTAGCGTTCTCGTGCCAGACGTGCACCCTGCCACGGAGCTGCAGCGCGTCGCCTCGCAGTCGGACATCCACCCTTTCGAGCGAATGTCCTTCTCCAGCGCTGATTTCTGTGTCGCGTACAAAGAAGCAGACGCGAAGGAGACATTCGACTCCGTGGCAAGCATCTTCTTCATCGACACCGCCCCGAACGTGATCAAATATGTCGAGGCTGTGCGCCACTGCTTGAAGACAGGCGGCGTCTGGATCAATGTGGGTCCACTGAAGTGGCACTTTGAAGGTTCCGCGGCCTACAGGAACAAGGGACGAGGTGAGAGCAGCGCTAACAAGCGGGAGACCCGCGGTCGACTTGGCAATGTCGCAACCGATGAAGGGATCGGCGACCCTGGCTCTGTAGAGCTGGCGGAGAATGAGGTGATGGCCCTTCTAGACACCATGGGCTTCGAAGTGGAAAGACACGAGACGATGCAGATTAGCACCGGATACATCAACAATCCCAACAGCATGTGGCAAGGGGTCTACTACCCAAGCTTCTGGGTAGCCAGAAAGCGGAAATAATGACGCATGGCCAGAAGCATTGCGATGTTACTGCTGCCCGTCGGGTGAGAATGTGGGCAAAAAGCCTGCTCCATTCATTGGTTTTGCTTTTTGGGGGGTTGAGAGGGCAGCGTACCTCTCCGTACTCTGCACCATATTATTGGCCTGGCAGCATTTGCAGCCGCAACAGTAGGTTGCTGAGACGCAAATGAGGGTTTCGTAACTGTTCCTCCTGGAACACGAAAAAGAAAATTACGACATGGGGCGTGTGTGCATGGTTTTAGTCAAGCAAATAGGCGGCGCATCGAACATGGTGTGTGGTGAGTGGGTGGCTCCCGTATGCTCGGGAAAATAATGGGGGAAGGGAGAGAGGGGGGGGGGGAACCAGAACTCGTCTCGTCAAGCTGGAGGGAGGTCCGTCGTGCCGGGAGCAATCACCATACGTTCCAGATCTGCAGGGAGTGAGCGCCGTGGCCTTGGAATTCCGGATGAAAAACAATTGGACTCTGGTCCGTAATTCGCTTCGCCGATCACTGCTTTTCCTCATACCCAGAATCCATGTAGGACAGCTGCACCAGCAACCCCCGGCCCTTGCTTCCCACCCTCAGTCCAGGGGTTACAATAAGTGAACACCACCCATCTGGTTGAAATTAAAAAAAGTAGTGTCATGGAGACAACACAGTCGACCGTCAAGGGTTGGGTTAGGTCACAAAAAGGAACAAGTGCACTCCTTCCTCCCCGTCGTTCTCATTTCCCGGTTTCCGGGAGAGGACGACATGATTGCCAAGGGAAAAAAAAAAGAAAGAAAAAAGAAGAAAGAAAGGAGCTAATAAGCAAAAGGTTCAATTAACGTAGCCCAGCTCCTGCTTTTGGCACGATCGCGCGCACCTTGGGTCCGATTTTTTTTCCTTTTTCTCCCAAGGGAATGGGCTCGTATCTGCAAGATCCGTTGCTCTCGATCTCTTAACGCCGCGCTGTAAGTGGTGATGTCTTAGATAAAAGAGGGGGGAAGGGGGGGGGGGGCTGACTTATTACCGTCCAGCCGAGATGGTGGGCTTCTTTTTCTCTACCCTCCTTGTTAAGGGGAGCTCCACAGGCTGCGCAAAATAGCCAATTTAGCGCAAAGCTCATCGCTCGGCTATCTCGATCTCGCGAACGAATCGACACAATCAGACACAAACGTTTCTTTTTTCATCTCAACCTTTCCGCGGACCCGGTTCCATGGCGTCGGGTTCACACGCAGCCAACGTAAAGCCCCAAGTGACAGGCGATGACAGCCTGGATTCCGAACTCGCCTTCCAGAGCGGGGCGTTCTGGCCAAGTTCGACACTCTCGCGTCGCGGAAACATGATTTGAGGCTTTACGGAGATAATCTGCCGGGGAGAAAAGAGGGGGGTTGGAGAGGGTTTAGGCGAAGACCTACTGACGGGTTTAGAAGAAAAAATAAAAACACAAGAAAATCAACATCAAAACGAAGGAGGCAAAGCACTCAGCTAGGTGGATGGATGGATGGATGCAACAGCAATAATGGAAGGCGTCATCTCGCTTCCCTCGCTGGACCAAATTCACTCGCTCTTGCCCTCTCTGTCCTCACCAGGCGCTCCTCCTTCGCCTGAAAAAAAAAATAACAGGAAAAAGAAAAAAAAATTGGGCTGACATGAAGATGAGGTGACTGCGGCCCTGTCGTGCAAGGTAACACCGACCGGCCCGCATGGAAGCTCGCGTGATTGTGCAACTTCATGCCCTTTTCTTTTCTTTTTCTCCTTTTTTGGTTTTCTTGGTTATCGACCCTCAAGCGAACGGGGCTGTGCTCATGGGCTCCGTGAGAAGCTTGCATGCCACCGGAAGTGCAGCCCGTTGGTTAGGAATAGCGAAGCTTGGAAAGAATAAAAAAAAAATCAAAAATGCTCTTCTCACATTCCTGTTATGTGCTGCGCCATCTCCTCGGGAGATGGGAAAAACGAGATGACTGCCGGTCGAAAACAATACAGAAAACAGGTTATGGTGTTACAATCCAAGCGGTTGAGCGAGCTTGAAGTGCTTACACGACAAATCGTTCCGGAGCGTCCTTTGTCATACATTCCCCCCCACCCCTTTCTGACATTATGCCCGACAGCAGGACTTTCTTTTTATTTTTCCCTCCCATTCTTTCGCAGTGGAAAAAACTCCAGTCATGCTTTCCCAATGATCCTATTCTTTGCCGTAAACTTATTGTAAAAACATTGCCCCGTAATCATGACTGCAATTCGCATCCATGCCGTAGTTGTACATTAAATGGAGAAAAATAATATCCTGCAGAGTAATTCATGCTCTTCAAATACCAGTTATGAATCAAGTCGTATGTACACCGCATGGCGGAGGAATGAAAAAAAAAAAAACAGGCCTGGTCTGAAAAGGCTGAAAATGCCTGGCTCTTGACCGTCTTTCATCTTCGAAGCTGATTGGAGTTTGATCGTGATGCGTCATAATCCTCGAGCAAGTCAAGACAGCTGTTCAGGACTGCAGTCACACATTAGCCCAGTCATCTTGTAACAAATGGTTGAGCCAAGAAACGTACGCGATATGATGTCCTCTTCCCAAACTCCCATTTGATAATCTACCAGGCCATGCTTTTCCATGAGATCGCAAAGTTCAACCAGTTCCTTCCCCATCGACTCCATCTGATGGCTGTCCATCATTGTACGTGGAGACTGAGGTCGTTGCCCCGTGTCGATCATGTCGACGGTCATGTCTCGCTGCGTCTGCAAAGCAGAGAGCCACGCAGTGTTAAATTGCTCCCAAAGTTTGAGTCGATCGGCGTGCAGTTGCTCGTCGTCACGCACTAGTCCTACAGTCAATCTCAGCCCCAATTCCAACTTGTGCGCCAAGGAAGAGAAAATGATAAAACTGATTCTTTTTTTTTTTTGAAAAAAAAAAGAGAAAAACTTACCCAAAGCTTCTGCGTTGCCCAGTAACCATTCCGAGATAGAGACTAAAGAGTTACCCGCCTCCGTCAATCTGCCGTCTCGTATGGCTTCAAATGTCTTCTTGAGCTCAGTCTGGTACTGGCTGTAAGCCGCCTCCAGCTCACTCACGGAGAAACCAGACTGTCCGTAGCCACTCTGCGAGCCTTGATGTGCGCCCGTCATGCCGTATGTGGACTGCATCGATTCGCGGGTCACCGAGGGTTGAGAACCGTAAGACATTTGGGAGTATTGCGTCGAAGGGTTTTGCGTTCCCATCGCAGCGACTGGTGCGCTTGTCGGGCCACCTTCTCCAGCGGCATAGTATGGCTGTGCGACGCCAAATTGATTGGGAAGGACGTCGAGCGCAGCCGTCTGGCGCGGTTGCTGATACTGTTGCACACTCTCATACGGCGACTGCGACGGGGCCGACTGCTGGCTGGGCACATTGTAAATCATGTTTGAGCTGTACTGGCCGTAAGACTGGGACTGCCGCTGGGTGTCTTGGCTGTACTCTGACTGATAGGAGATCGAGCCTGGGGTCATGGAAGAGCCGGCAAAGGAGCTGCTCTCCCCATAACCGTAGCTGTAGCTCTGAAGGTTCCCGCTTCGCGCTGTGGTTGGTGCCGAGGTTGGCGACTGGATACCCAGCTGCGTCGACCGAAACCTGTCCGGCACGCTGGTTGCTGGGTATTGTGACGAAGCCTGCAGGAGTCCCTGCTGGCTTGAGTATCCTGAAGGATGGCTCTGTCTGCGTCGAGGATCATTGCTCTCCATCACCTGGGAGCGGCCCTTTAGACTTGCTATGGGCCCTTCCAAGGCTGACCGATGCGCCGATGGCGAAAGAGGCGGGGTTGCATAGACGATAGCCAGCTTTTCGACTTTTTCGAGGGACCTTTTTGAAGAAAAAAAAAATTCGGCAGTTCACTTGTTCTCGCGCCGGGTGGAAGCCGTCAGACTCGTCTCTAGGCTTCACCTGGGTGACTCCAGCACAAACGAGCCTCTCTCTGAAGCCTGGATCGGGCCAATTCGAAGGAACAGCGCAGAGCTACCTGGGCACTGACGCCGGGTGTGGACAGAAGATGTGGCAAATGTGGATGAGGCTGGTTGAGGATGTCGAGAAAGACCGGGCTCCAGTCAGGCTTCAATGTGGACTTGTGCTGGATTTGGTGGTGGAAGGTCAGGTGTTGCGTTTCGGGCAGAAAGCAATAGAAGAGCTGGTGGAAGCTTTGTGGTGGGTGGGGAGGCCGGGTGGGGGTAGAATGGATGTGTGCGCGTGTGGATGCGTGCGTGTTTATGTGTGCGTGTGTGTGTGTGAGTGTGTGTGTGAGTGTGTGTGTGAGTGTGTGTGGGCAGGTTGGTGAGTTTGTGTAGTTGTGTGCGTGTGGGTTCGTGCCGGACGGCAGACTCTTTACAAGAAAGACGATGGGAGTCGAAAAAAAAAAAGTACAGGACGCTTTCGAGTAAAAGAACCGATCGAATGAGGCTTAAAAAAAAATAAAAGAGCGACCGCACTGGCTGGAGGTTTCTTTGGGACAAATGATTGGAACGTAGAAGACGTTTCCGCTTACAGAGGGGTCGCAGATGAAGTGTTCGATCGGACTGAGCGCGTCAGCAGTCGAGCAAGTTATGAAGTCGCTTTGCTTCGAGGATGTTCCTGGCTCCAGAGGCAACGTGAGGCGTGGAGCGAAGCGTGTCAATTGGCAGCGATCGGGTAGCCAAGCTGGCCGGGATAGAGGTATAAAGCAACGACCATCAAAGTCGTAACGGGGTCAGGCCCTGGTCTCTCCCAAGAGGCACGGCTTGGTCCAGGCGTGAAGTGCTCGGGCAAAAATGAAAAAAAAACGTGCAATGACGGAGGGAGGCTGATATGATTGCGACGGGCTGGAGGCCCGAGTGGTGGGTTTTAAGACAAAGCGCGCGACAGCGCTGTCAGAAGAAGAGCGTTAGCAGACAACTCGCATTGGTCCGAAAAAATGAAGGGAATCTTAACAGCAGGTACTATAGATCGGGCATGGGACACACCTCTCGTCTCTTTTTGGCTATCAATGTCTCTCTGGACAGCGTGGCGATCACAATTGGCCGCGGGAGGTGGATCTAATGCAGAAGGAACTGGACTTACCGATGGGTACGTGGGTTGCGCGCAACGGGCTCCAAGATCAGCGAGGGTCTGGAGATGAGGCTCGGTTGGATGCCATGTACGAAGAAGACGGACGTGCTGGCCGGTGACAGGCTGGCGATTGGTGGTCGTGGTTGGTGGCAGAGGCGAGGATCGGGGAGGGAGACGGGGGGATCGGTCAGATGGTGCGTGGTGGTGATGGATGGAGGTGCTGGAGGCAGCGTTGGGGAGAGGAGGTAGTTTGGAGATGGTGGCTATGGATACGACGACAACGGTGGATGCGACGGGCTGTATGTCGATGTTGGTTGGGCGACGACAGCACTGGCGACGGGGAGCACGAGCGCCGTCTTTTGCGTCTCTCGCGCCTTGCGGGCTCTTTGGGTGTGTTCAAGGGAAAACCGGTAATGTACAGGCCTAGTGTCGGCCACAGATCGGACACGGCCAGCAATCAAGGCAAGGCGGTACAGGTGCTTGCGGACGCTGAGAAACGGCCCCAGCACAGGTCACACTCTGCCCGTTTCCGAGCTCCCTTTGGCTCTCTATGTAAGCCGGGCAGGCAGGCAGGCGGGCAGACAGACACACAAAGCTGGGCTGGGACGGATGGTGGGACTGTATGTGAAGTGGGCGAGCGAGAGAGCGAGCGAACGGACGGGCGAGAGGGTTAAGGGGATTTGAGATGCAAGTTGGACGGAAGTGCAAGCAGAAGCAGGCACAAGGGAGGCAGGTCAAGCCAACCAAAGCGACGCGAAACAGGCGTGCAGACGTTATTATACTTCAGCACGAACGAAGACGGGAGGGAAAGATTGGGATGGCGGAACAGCACGCCGTCACCACCAGAAAAACGGAGCGAGCGCAATGGTCGCGGTGTCTTGGTGGGAGCGCACATGCACTTGCACATGCGCTGGCCCATCACACGCCCACTCACTCCTGCGTCTCTGTGTCTCTGAGGGGGAGAGAGAAAGAGTGTGTGTGTGTGTCTGTCTGTGTCTCTCCCCCTCTCTCAGCGCGCCTGCGCTCAGTCAAGCACCCGCCCGTGTGGAACGGACTAGAGAGTGGGAGAGGCAGCAGCTGAACAGCGCGGGGAGGCGCCCGGACTGATGTCATGCCATGATGCGAAATTATATGCATTGCTATTCTCATTCCCGGTTCGTCCACGGCCCTCATTGGGCTCTCCGTAGTGCAGGAACTATTTCACAAGACAGCCAGGACGCCGGCGCACAAGCGCAGAGCATGACCGAGCACAGCCCTAAGAGTGTCAGGAAACAATGAAAGAAAAGAAAATGAAAAAAAAAAAAAAATAAAACCAATAGTGCAACGGCAGCAGCAGCAGGCTAAAAGTTAGCAGCAGGACGTGTAGCAGGAAACCCAACAAGCGTCGTTTGAGATCTACGGCGCAATCATCAGATTTTGGGCTGACTGTGGTTGGGCCCCATGCCGACGCCACACAGGTTATTGGCATAATGCAGCCCATGCTGGAAGCCTTGCTCTCAGCTGCCCGACCGTGCTTTTTCGCACGGCGCAGGAAAAAGGAAGAAGAAGAAGAAGAAGGAGAGGAAGAGAGAAGAGAATTGCACAGAGTGAATGCGGGAAACGACGCAAGAAGGAGACCCGCTGTGCACATACACGCACGCATAGTTCTCGGCGACGCGCTCACAGGCGACGAGCGCCGGCGCCATTCCACACATCGTACACGCTCTCTCTGTCATCTGCTGTCCTTCTCCATCTCTCCTCTCCACCATGGACGCAAATCGGTTTATTCCCCCCCCACCCTTGCAAGAAAAGCGAAGAGAAATAAAAGCGACCCGATCAAACGCGCCCAATTTCTGCCCATGATTCAAACTGGAACACGCCGACATCAGGTCACATTTGCGACGACGACGACGAAATTGGGTCGCTAAGATCTCCCAACGACCCTCGCAGCCTGCGTTCACGCATCCCGTGCGCTGCTCCCTTTCGTAATCAAGCTCGCCATGTTGGCGAACCGCCCGGCCGGGCTTGCTTTTGCCCTGCGTCCCAGTGCCAAACCTGCTCGCGCGTCGACACGCCGCAGCCCCGCTGTTCGCCAGCCGGCACAACTGCCACTCGTCCCTCCATCGTCACGAATTCTCATCGCTCATCATCACCATCACCATCGTCCGGCTGTCACTTGACCGTCGGAGCCCCGGCGTCCCGCCGTCGTAAGTCGACACCTCCGTCACTTTTGCCGTGACCGGGCAGGCTCTGGCAATCGAAGCGCACCCGCGCCAACACCTGTCAGAAAGCGCCCTGCCGCGCTCTGCGTCCGCATACACACGGACGCAGACACGCACACAGCTCTCCGGCTTCACCAACAGAGCGTCTTTGCTTCATTTGCCCTCGGTCGAGGGAGGCGGGGCGGGCGGAGGGGGCGCGTTTCAATCGCCGTAAACGGGCTCCTTCTCGATCGCGCCCTCGGTTCTCTTCGCCTGACCAAGTCGGCCTCGTCGTTTGTGACACGTACACGGTTCTCTCCTGCGTGTTCCGTCTGCCACTTTCCCACTTCCTCCTGCTAGTTTCTACTGCCGCGTGAAATCAGCCTGTCTAAGCGCCCGGGAACGCCCTTCTCGCTCCGAACGCCAGTTTTTTGTTCCCTGGCCAGTGCTGCCTCGTCCTTCTGAATGCCATACAGACTCCACACAGTTGCCCCCCATCCACGACCCGCCGCGTTCCGCTTCGTCAGAAGCCCTCTTGCGAGGCGGTGGTCGCGCGCCTTTTTTGCGCAGAACAATTCGTGGTCGTCGCACGCCGGCCAAGCCTTTGTCCATCGCGCGGGCTTTCAGCGTTCCGCCGCACCGAAAATGCGTCCGCTCCTATTTCCGCCCGCAACGAACCATCGTCGTCGTCGTCGTCTTTGGCGGCTGGTTGTTCTGCCAGTCGCTCTCCCGCGACCACGACTGCGCGGCCGCTGCTGTGCCACTGAGCGATCGCGATGGAAATCGTCTTCCTCGCCCCGGCCCCACAGGGAGCGCTTGCGTACCTGCGTCATGCTGCATGACTTTATTTCGCCGGCCCCGGGAAGCAAGGATAGCCCACTTGCATCGCTTTTGCCCATCGCCCAGCCCGTCCGTTCTATTCGAGATCGGCCTCTCGTCCCCCTCCCGCTTCCTCGTGGTGCGACAGGGAACTGCTGCCCTCATCATCCGATCATCGTATCCGGCCCAAAGAACACGGCCGGCGTCAGGCGCCTTCTCATTGGACGCCTTGCACGCCCGCCGCCTGGAGCTCTCGTGCTAGAATGCCTCTGGCTGATGCCCGTCTCGTGCTGGGAAAGAGCACAGCTGTGCGCCCGTTCTCGCTGCCACCCGAGCCAGCTCGCGACAAAGCCAGCGGGCGACCTCCAAGCTGGCGTCGTTCACGGCGTCGGACATGCAGCCTAATTCTGTTTGGTCGCCTCCCCCCGGCTCTCCTCTCCTTCTCTTCCTCTTCTGTCTCCCATCGCTGGCCGCTCGTCTTTGTCGCGTCTCTGCCACAGCCCTTGCGCGAACGTCCCAGTACCCTCCGCTCGACCACGTCGCCGGCGTCCGACTTTAGCTCATCTGATGGAAACAGGCCTTGTCCGCCCGGCCAATCGGTCGTAAGCCAGCTCAGAAGAGGGCCTTGGCCACGCGAGAATTGATGCAGAAGTTGAAACGCTGAGCTACAAACTTGGCTGCCTGAACCCGAGTCGTACCTCCCTACGGAACACAGAGAAAGAGGGATCCCTCGGGATGACCCCCCCTTATCTCTCGCTCCCTCGCTCTCGCCTCCTCTCTTCTTCCCGTATTAGAAGCCCTACAATGCCCGCAAATCGTGCTCTTTCCGACCATCTGACCCGTGTAAGGCGCGCACCTGGCTCGGAGTTTTCCGATCTGTTCTAGAAAAACGGCTCTCCTTCGACGTTGCGCCGTTTGCTGGACCCATCCTAGTCATGAACCCGTGGCCCCGTTGTCTGTGCGTTGCCATCGCAATGTCGTATCATCATCGTCCTTATTCTTCTCACCACGAAGCTAGTTAGCAACCTTTTTTTTCCCCAATCCTTGAAGCAGACCGAGAATGCCCGTGACTGAAGGGCGGCATCCGTCGAGCCCAAGCCCAGCTCGTCATCCGCTGTTGCTCAAGTACACGCTCCAGCCCGCATTGCAGGTTTCGTTGCGCACCCGCCCCGCATGAAAAATGTTCCGTCTCAATCTTACCAACCACCAGCGCGGCGAATTATCAAAAAAAAAAAAGGGCCTTGTGGCTTGCTATAAACTCTAAATCGGGAGACGGCATACAACGCACGCAAAAGCCTGTTTCTGATCAGGCTAAGCCCCCGAAATTTCTGTCCCACGGGAACTGGCCGTCACGCTTGCTCCTACTCCTACACTACTGCTGCTAGGGCGACAAGAATAAGCTGATGTTCCAGAGTCATGCCACCTCAGCCACCGTCTGAATCCTGAGTCCGACTGAGAACAATGCGCTCGCCAGCGCGGGCTCAGCAAAGTGAGGCTGTTGGACCGCCGCGATAAGAGGACGCCCCGACCTTTGATGCCCAACCCTGATCATTCAACGTAGGCTTGACAAACGCTGTACGCGATCGTCACATCCACATCGTGTCGTCGTAAGTGCCGTCTATGCCGCCCAACTTGTAAACTCTGTCCTCGACACGTACTGCGTTTGGCCAGCCTCCCCCATCATGAAACACCTTGCTCGCTGGCCAAGTCACTCTGCTTGAATGTCGGAGGATATCGGCGTTTCAGATCAAGCTGACGCAGACGCATCGCTGACCAACCATTCGGCTTTTGGCCTGGTGAGCTGTCCAGACCCAGACCCAGCAGGAGCAGCATTGTTATTCCTTCTCTCCGAATGGATGGCCCTGTACAAGAGCTTGAAACGATGTTCGCCTTCCGTTCGTCGCCCAACGAGCCAAATGTCGTGCAGGCCGGGAGTTTCCGCCCAAGGGCAAGCGAGGTAGCCTCGTTCCGCACAGAAACGAACACTCCCATGGAGAAGAAGAAGGAGGAGGAGCTGGTGGTGGTGGGACCTTTCGGGGTCCTGCCTATACCATAGCTTCTAATCATCTGACTCGGTCCTTCATCATCACGGGCCCCTGGTCAATGTATGCGAAGCTCGTTAGGCACCAGCTCTGTTCTTTTCGCTCTCCTCGTTCAGTCCCACGGCATGGACGAAACGGCAGACTGTCAAACTTTTTTTGTCGCGCGGCATTGTGATGGCAGGACTGTCGAACTATGCCCCGTCCCGATGCGAGAAAGGCTGAAGGGGGCCGCAGCCCCTAAAACGCCAAAACGCATTAGTCAACACCCCACGTGCAAACCACCCGCGCTAGTCCTCCTGGCGTGAACAGTCCTGGCCAGCAGCGCCTTGGTTGTCAAGACACGCTTCACGATCTGGCACTGTGCGAGCTCAAACTTGGTCGGGGTTTCTCGGATTCGCTTGGCCCGCCCGTCTCGGTCGCATTTCGCCAAGTCGCGAATGGGACGCAGTGCAAAAAACGTCCGCTCTTGTCGCGGATTCGAATCTTCGACTCTCGCGAGCAGCCGACCTTCCCGTTCTTGGCTCCGTTACCCGCCCCTTTCTTCGACGGGGCGTCGTTCTCGACGGCCATACAATGGCGCTGTCATGGTGCTCGCCTTTGTTCCAAGCACGGCTTTCCTAGCTCAGCAAGATCAGTGATCTCTCCGTTGTTGGAGACAAAGGCAATGCCTGAATGTTCAAAGGCAGCCCTTTGTATTGTGAAAGAACGCGTCCTCGACCTAGAGCGAACTATGCCGCCGTCTCCTCTTACATATTTGGCATGTATAGATCAACGATCTCGTTTCCGCCTCAACCAAGACTCGCTTTCTTGATTCTGCGTCCATCCCATCTGGTACGGCATGCACGTATTGAACCGTAGTCACATTGCCTTGTTGTAAAGATCTGTTCCGCTTCACCGAGCCCATCTGCACGGAGGCCGTGACAATCCGCAGCCAGTATGATCCCTGAGGAGGAAATTCTTCACTACGTCGATTCCTCACCGCAGGAACCAGACTTCACCTTGGACAACCCAAGGCGCAACGACGTACAGGTCGTCTCGCCATCGCACGTACCGTCAGTGGATGACCTGAGTATGCTTTGCGGGATTGCAATTACGAATGTTGATCACCAAGACTTCTGCATGGATGCTATCGGCAATAACCCTGTGGGATTTCAGTCTCTCTTGGACGACCTACAGGCAAACGGGCAGATTGTAGGTCCAAGCCAGGGCTTGTGCGCCAGCAAAGAGAACTACATCCCCGCTCTGCCACTCGGCATGTTAAGTTCGGCCATGGACACAGAAGGCGACCCGTACTCGTCGCCGAACCAAACCATATTCGATCCGGGAGACGCGGTTGACGTCGGCGATGATGCCGGTCTCGTGTTCGCAAATGGGATTCTTCAGAACATCCAGACCGGGTTGGAGCATCAGGCCCAGCCTGCCTTGCACCACGAACTTATGGCTAACGATAGTATCATGCCATGGTACCAAGTATATGTGAGTAACACAACGCACGGCATCGACTTATGTGAACCAAAGTGCGACGACTTCTGTTTTAGCAACGACTACGCGCTATGCTTTAATGACAATCTATGCGTGAATGAATCGCCCGTGCAAGCCTTCGATTCCTTTCCATTTCAACGAGAGCACTCGCGGGGAACCAGATTGAGTCTGTCCCCGGAGACCTTGTGTTCTTCGCCGGCATATGGCAACAAGGCAGGCCTTCCCCGGGAGAAGGATACGTTCTATGGCGAGAGGCCTGTTCGGCCAGTCGACAAACCTTGGGTACGCGTCAACTCGACGACTCGGGGCAAGACCTCCCGAACCAGCAAAATTAACCATTACAACCCCGATCAGTTCTACACCGCGATCCCGCATCCTCTCGGGGGAGAGTGGGCAACGCCGCACAGCAGCCGCAGCTTCCGCTACAATCGATGGCATGAGCTGACGGAAAACTGCATGTCAGCGAGCCGACTGAAGGACTTTATATATCACCACCCCGCGACGGACGACTGTAGGCTGACGCTTTACATTCAGCGTTCGCCCGCGGACTCGAAGCGGCGGTACCCGACGTCCAGCCTGGACAAGTGCCGCTTCCGCGAATGCCCCATGCGAGTGCACGGGAACAACGGCTCCTTTCTCCACGGCCACTACCGCGTCGCGCTCGACGAGCTGAGCTCCAGATACGGTTTCGGCAAGGGCGAGCTCAACGACCCGTTCCTGGTCGCCGGCTACGTGCACCTGTACTGCCTGGAGAGATTCCTCGACCTGCCGGCGATATGTGGCCTGGCCAACGTGCGCGTCGAGGCCGACGGCCGGCAGCGGATGTGCAAGGAGCCCAAGGGCAGCTTCGCGGCCGCGCTGGGGCCGAGCGAGCTCCGCGTCGCCGGGGACTTCATCGACGCCGCCAGGAACGGGCGCGTGCGGGACCGCGCGGCCTGGGCAAGCTACCCCGAACACGAACGGTCCAAGAGCGACGCCGGCGCAGCTTACGTGCGGGAGAAGCGGCACAGGCACACGCTCAACTACGCTCTGCAGCTGTGCAAGAACGCGGGCCGCGGCGACAGGGTCATGAGCCAGCTGAAGCCGAGCAACGTCGCCGTGCACAGGGGTGACTTGGAGATGTACTGTCTCGGGCGGAAGGGCCTGCTGAGCGACGAACGCGTGGCGGAGATCGTCGCGGAGCTGGACGCCGACGAGAGGACGTCCAGCGCGTCGTCGGCCCGCGACAGAAAACGCGCGTGCAGAGGCGCCTGTCCGTCCTCTGAGGCGTCCGCCGTGCCTAACAAGAGGGCGAGGTGTGCGCGGTGCTAAGCTCGGCAATGGACGGCATCCTACCAAACTATGAGCCAAACAAGTATGAATAATGATAATGGTAATGATAACAATAAGTAAATAAATGAGAAAAAGACAGTGCGGCTAAGAACATATGTACGTGTCGACCTGACCGAATGCCCCGTGTGGGATCGATCGGTACGGTTACGAGCCCGCGAGGTGGTGGTGTCGACAGCGTGGAATGGCGACGATGCACTGAAGAAGGTAAATTTCCTCTTCTTGCCGGAGAGATTCTCTAGCCTAGCCATGGCCAAAGTTTTACGAAGAGTATCCCTATAGCGCCAAAGACAAACGCCCCGCCACCCCATGTCTTTTTTTTTTTTTTGTCCCCTGGGTATCACAAGCTTAGAAAATCCGTTTACTTATCTGCCCGCCCACCATAAAACACATGCCTCACGCGGTAAGTGTCCATGCCCTTGCCATGAATCCAGACGTTGTAAGGCTAGGCGTCCATTTCCTCGTCGCCATCGACATCTACATGGTTCCTCTTCGCAGGCAGCGCGTCAGCTATGCTTTCCAGCGCCACGAGCTCGTCCTCCTGCACCCTTCGGCCCAAGCCCTCTACAGAGACGCCAACATCGACACCCTGTCTCTCGACAGCTTTCCGGGCTTGCTTGTTCACGTACAGCCGTCTCTCGCGCGCGCTGTTGCTCTCTGCCACGGCCATCTCCGCGTCTCCCAGCTCCGCCAGCTTCGGCCGCAATTCGTCCAGCAGAGCACGCAACGCAGGTAGCTGAGACAGAGCAAAGGAGGTGTTCGTTGTCAGTGGACCGTCTTGATTCTGCTGCCCAGCGCTCGCGGCTGTCGACATGCTGACGCCCAAAGCTTTGGCAGCCTCTCCCTCGGTAAGGAAGGCGTATGTGCCCTTGTTTTCAACAGTGGACGTAGCATCGTGCTTTCCCGGCGACTGCTGTTCTCTCTTCATCTCCGCCGAAGCCGGCTCAAAGAGTGCTTTCAGCTGCTTCAACGCTGCGTCGTTTCTACGCACATTCGCTTCCAGCATCCTGTTCAGCTTCTTGGTCTGCCTTAGCTTTTGTTGCATTTCCTGCACCTCCTCTGCAGTCACCGCCTTTTCTTGACTACTTTTCGTGCGCAGCTTGATACCTTCGTAATGCCCCAACCTGACCCAGGGCACAAGTTCTTCGGGAACGTTCAAAACCCCTCGTAATATGTAGATCTCAAATTTGTCAAAATTACGGTCCACATTGCTCTCTAGCAGAGTCTCCAGTTTATGCAGACCTTCCTCGATCTCCGGCCGTGCCTCGGGGTACACCGGAGCGCCCCGATCGTCCGTGTCTGGAATTCGGTTCGACTGGGCGTACAATTTGTCGAAACCGAGATTGGCAGGGTCGGTTGCGAGAAGACCGGACTCCGCAGCATCAACAGCACGTGTCACAACCTCATTTACGGTGTTGATTATGTCGTCGAGCAGTGTCTGGAACATATTTGGACAGTCAGCCGAGTATAACAACAGGTTTTTCTAAATTATGGTCACGAATTGCATGCATACCAAGGGCGTGAACCGCAAATGCTCGGTGAGTAAAGCCGTCTCCATTTTTTTTTTACGCTGATTTCTTCCCGGTCTCTGCAATGGAGACGCGCTGAATGAAGCCGTGGGGTTGCGGGGAAGAGACGCGAGATCGCGACGAGAAAGTCTATTTACACTTTCTGCCTGATGCAGCTCAGGCCACGAGGCCACAATCCCATTCCCATAAAGCTTTTTCTTCTCCGTTTACTCTCGACTTTCCTGCGATTATTCGTCAAACAAAATATCGTGACATGCATCGGATCAATCACGTACTAGATAAGGATCAAAAAAAAACCCTTCGAACTCGAAGCCTCGTGAAAAGTCATTTTACGGATTGAATTCCTCTTCAACGCGCTCGTCTGTCTCGCCCTTGATGCATCTCACCCCTCGAAGCACGCCGGAACGGATTCCAGGATGCTTCGTTGGCTTTTATCAAATCCGACCACCGCACATCTTTAAATTGTCACGCTTTTCCTCTTCCATATCGTGCCAATTAGTCTGCGTGCGAAGAATGACCCGCGTCCTCCAAAGCCACGCACCGGTCTGACGTTTTGTCCAATCGGTGTCACTTCAGTGGCGGAGGTCGCTTTGCGATCCGGCTAGGCACAGTATTTCTTCTCAACCTTCAAGAGGTTTTCGTATCGAAGATATGCTTCAAGCCAAGGATCGCACATCTCGCTCGTTCCCTGCTTAGTCAGTCGACAGCTGGAGTCTGAGAAAGTTCTCAGTGCTGCTCAACCACAATCTCTTATCGTACTCTACCATTCTTGATTTCAGTCTACTCCACTCATGGAGAGGTTTCGTACACTACGTCTGGATAAGAGTATCTCACTTGAGTCTCGTACTTTACCATGTGGTTGTGTCTTACTAAGAGGAACGGGTCCTGAGTCTCAGGCTTTTCTCGGTCCTTGCTTCCCTTTCAGTCTATTCGCTGCTCTGTGCCTGATCCTTTGTCCTGCATTGCAACCTTAGAAGGCTCACTAACTTTGCGGTGAACTTCCTTGGAGAATCAGTCTTCTTTGGTTAATGTCTGTTTGTTCTGTCAGACGCCCGATTCATGCCTAAGGACATATAATGACCAAGGGAGTCGATGGCGCATTACTAGATCGTTATAATGACTTGAAACTTGAGCCGCACCCATGCTTTGCTGAACCTCATGTCGTCAAATTAAAACGAAATCTATTCAGGTTTACCCATCGCAGATCTCATATGGAATGTTCTTGCCGACTTTAGCTTTAAAAGTGCTTTCTCAAGCTCAATTTCGGAGCTGCAAGGTACCTGCGCTTTCTATATTTTTTGATATGCCCCTCAAATCTTCATTAAATTGATTATGGTCGCCAAAACATTGAATGATAGCGTACAAGTGGCAGCTAGCCTGCTGATATGTCATTTGAAGTCTCCTTCGGGTAATCATCAATGGTCTTGGCAGACTCTCCACCGACATAGCATATATCGTCCTTCTTAAATGACAAGGGGACGCTCTTTCCAAGGGAAGTTCTCATGGCTTATTTATTCATGTGGGCAATATGGGTCACAAGTATAATTGATGCATCACTAATTTTGTCCCATAAGTACTTCCTTTGATCCACTTTTCGGTTTTCGGCGCCGTTGTGAGTCCACTATCGCCCTATTCTCGCAAAAAGGATACTATTCAACAATCGTTATCTGCAGCCCGGGAATCGTGAAGTTGTTACCAAAAGAATAAAAAGACTCTATGATTCGACGTGTAGGAAGACAATATGTTCAAGACACGGCACTACCAGCTATTGTTTTCATCTCTCTCGAATCGTACTTTAGAGGTGCGTGAAGGACGCACAAACCATCATGCTGACAACTTGAGTTATTCTTTCATTCTTAGTATCCTCATGTGAAAGGCCTAATCCTACTTAAATCATGTTAGTTCTTGGTGCGTCCTAGTTTTTTGAGGCAAGACGCTGGCGTCGTACTTGAACTAGACTTACAAGTCGCGGACGTGACATTTTCAGCGAAGGACTAACTCATCGCCCTCATTGGATGGTCCCTAAACTGCTTCACAACACCTTATATAAAATGCGTTGCATTTTTCTTTTAGAAAGCAAAATGTACCAAAAGCCCGGAGTTATAGGATTGATGCCACGCTTTCTCATCGTTATCACATTTAGCGGGATGTAGACATTAGGAAGAAGAGCTGCAGAACCTTCAAAACGCAGAATGGAAGTCAAAACCAAGACATCTTTTCTCCTCCTGTCTTATATCAAAAGCTCGAGGTAATAGGGTTATCCAATTTTGTCACACGGGAGTGAAGAATCCAAAACGCTTCCCTGCTCACGTTGGAAATGAGGATGAATTCACCATGACCATAAGTCACGGCGTGGGAATCCGCAAACGGCCGCCCCGTGATTTTCTACCATTTATCGAGTTGATTTCAACCCTTCTTCCCCCCTGTGGGCTTTACATGATAGCCGACGCGATGTTGTCAACCGCGCACATCGCCCGGGGTAATACTGCGGGGCAACTGATCGCAAGTAGAATGCAACAGATTCTGCTCACATGAGAGCCTGGAAGGCTTTCCAGTCCTCGGGAAAAGCATCCAGTTGACTATCACGGCCCGTGTCAGTGGCCGAAACTTGGTTAGATTTCCTCTGTGCCGTCAAGCTTCTGCTTTTGCTCCTCTTGGACATGAATTCGCCGCACGGGTCATCGGTATATATGGGTGTCGATTCAGGCACCTCTTTTTTCATCTCACTTTGTATATATTTTTTTTTTCTTGAACTTACTCTGTGCCAGAGTTTCCAGTTCAGACCTGCGTGTTGGGCGATTTCCTGCTTGTAGAGAACGACTAAGAGTGCTAAGCATCGAGGGCATACTGTGGTACAATTGACAATGGCGGCTCCCATGACCGTGACTCTCAAAAATTTACAAGGGCGATACAACGTGGTGAGTTTGCTCTTCGCGAAGGCGTTGGTCCAGGATGAGACTGATGGCGGGAAATGCCGTAGAATAAGACTCAATCGGACCCATTTGACGACACCTTGCAGCTGCAAGGTATAGGCTGGTTGGCCCGCAAGGCTATCAGCGTTGCGTCCATCTCGCTCGCCATCAAGCAGTACATTGGCGACGACGGTCTCGAGCACATTGACATCGATCAGTTCGCCACGGGCGGGATCAAGACGACCGAGCTGCGTATCTTCGATGACGTCTCACGCGAGCACAAAGACATGCTCTTCGGCCTCGTGCAGGGTCGCAATCGTCGCATCAAGCTGTCGAGCCTCAGCGACGAAGACCCGGACGAGGCTTACCTCAAGGCAGGCTGGTCGCAAGACATTGTCGACGACGACGAGATCATCGATGGCATCGTGATCAGCGAGGCCAATGGCTGGGAGGGGCGTCTGGTGTGGGGCTTTGCGATCGTCGACGGAGAGAGAAAATATGTGCGGCGGTCGGTCGTCAAGAAGGGAAAGCAGACGAAGAGAAACAACATGGTTTACGACTACGTCGGCCCTCTGTAGACGTTGTGGAGGCACGTGCGAGAGAAGATTTATGATGAGGACTATTTTTTCTTCTTCTCAGCATCACTTCTTCTCGGTCTTATCCTGAGCACGGATAGGAGGTTTGGTGAAACAGACGGGTTTTTAGGATATGTCGAATCGAAAACGAAATGATGAACAAACTGGTTGAATGAACAACCACCTCAAAGTCCAGAGGTTCTGCGTATTACTTCTTGCTCATGGCATCTACGTCCTGGACTCGCCCTGGATAATGCTGACCACATACACAGCTCCGGGCGGTCTAGACGCAGAGATTAATGTGCTTGGTAATGTTGACGAGCAAGCTAGCGATCTACAAAAGGTGAAATGCCATCTAACGATATGTGCATGGATTGCATGTTTTATGGACTGGTTGATTTTTTATTTTTCTTCTTGACTATGTGGAAGTCAGTGTATCGCAATCCGATGCCAGAACAAAGTCCCGACAATGCTCAATGTGCTTCGTCTCTCATGCCTGCAAATTGTCAAATTTGCGCGTCGTCACATCCCGTCCCATCCCACGTGAAACCTCATAAATCCACACATAAATCCATCAATCATCACGTGTCACAAAGACAACTTGACGAAGGACTAACAAATTTACTTGAAGACCTTGCCATCAGCCCACTCGTACGTCTTGCCATTGACCTCAATGGGCTTATCCCATGCCCACATGTCGTTAACAAACTCCCTGTCCTTGACCGGATCGAGCTTTGTGAACTCGTAAGACTCGTAGTCTGGAGCAACGTCAAAGGCCGGGAGTGCCTCCTGGCCACGAATGAGGAACGCGCCTTGAATGACGCTGTCGTTGGACACGCCGTACACGGAGGCGGCACCGAAGATGTACTTGCGAGAAGCTTCGAGGCGGGCGAAGAAGCCACCTGAACAGGGGTTGTCAGCAATGCGATATCAATAAGAGACAAGGAACGTACCGATGAGGTTGGACGTCATGAAGGTCATGGTCAACTCATCGTTGTACTTATAGTCAACCTTCCACAACGAATACTCCTCAAAGTTGGCATTCTCCCAGAACCACGGGAGTGCAACAGATCGCGTGTCTTCGTTCGAGTACTTTCGCTTCCAGTCATCGAGCACGAATGTTGGACGACCGAGAGCCTCGAGAGGATGCTTCGGCTTCGGAGCCGGAGCCGGCTCATCTTCCTCATCCTCCGCAGTATCCTTGGGCTTTGGCTCGGCCTTCTTAGCTGGAGCGGCCTCCTTTTTAGGCGCAGGGGCTTTTGCTGGCGGTGTGTACTTGAGCGCCTCGTCAACAAAGGTGGGGACGGGTGAGAAGTCGGACACAGCAGTGTAGATGGGCTGTGCAGTAACGGTCTCGTACCAGCGGGTGGTGTTGGGGTTGTTTTCGCGCCAGGCCTTGTCGAAGAAGGCCTCGAAGCCACGAACGAGCATGGAGGCAACGAAGATGTCAGCCAAGGTCAGACGCTCGCCGACGAGGTACGTGTTGACGAGCAGGTGCTCCTCAACAACATGCACGGCAGCAAGGGCGGCGGCCTGGGACTCCTCGACATTCTTCTTGTTGTACGGATCGAGACCCTTGATGGGACGGTACCAGCCAGCAAGCTTAGGCAAAATCTCAGTGTTGGCGTATGAGAGCCACTTCAGAATGGAGGCATAGTCTTGCTTGGTCTTTCCGAGGAGAGTTGTTTTCTCGTTTTGCGAAGCAACTGTGTGCATCTCATTAGCAAAGCTGTGGCGGGGTAGAAGATTGGGGCGAGAAAAGAAGTGACTTCAGCCGCTCAGAGTGTGAATACATGACTCAACAGGGATTTTCAGTCAGGGATAACTGTAATGAATGTAGTGATTGTTCATCAGGGCGACAGGAAAGGTACATGAAGGGGATTTCCCTCTTCGTTATGGAAGAATGGGATCAAGACGACGTACGGTAGATAGCAATAGCAGTGCACTCGGTGAGGACGTAGCCATCGGAGCCCTGGAAGGTCGGAATCTTTCCCAGTTTATTGAGAAGTCGGTAGTCAGCGCTGGGCGGCTGGGCAACCTCGACGATCTCCAGGTCAAGATTGTTGGCCTTTGCAACAGCAAGAATTGCCGTAGAGCGGGCGTTGCCCTAGAGCAGCAGCACAAGTGAGTATGCGAGGATGGCACGACCGGCAACACTAAAGGGGGACGTACCTTGCGGGTGTAAAGCTTTCCAAAAGCTGGCATGTCTGCGGCGTCTTTCTTTGTGACAGGAGTTCAGAAAAGCCGGCACGGAAGACAGACGGAGATGTGGGAGAGCGAGGAGAGAGCGAAGGTTTGTTGGTGTGCGCTGGTCACAGATTTTTTTAAGAATTCGCGGGCGCACTGCGGGTCTTGGCATGGCCAGGGTCGTTCGATACTCGTTCGCTGGTCAACTTAAAGCAATGCCCGAGCCAACAAAAAAAAGGCGACGATCGGCTACGACTCTGCGGCTTTGGAATTGCCCATTCCCCATCCACCGTCGTCGCCTCATCCCGCCATGAAGGCCATTGACCTTCGAAATGGCATCAGGAGGGCCATTCACACCGTATACCAGCCGTCCTCGACACAATGCCCTCGACGCAGACCTGCGACTGTAGCTCGCTTTCACGCCTCCCTGCCCGTGCGGACCTTCTCGTCATCAAATACACGTCGTGCCAGCGAACAGGCGCCCAAGCAAACGACGTCGAATGCTCGCATCTCAGAGATAGAGTCTGGAATCGATGTCTCGACAAACCCCGGACTAGAGGACACGACGCCGTTCCGAGCAGCCCCCGAGATCAACTTGGATGGCCTTGAGGACTTCGAGGCTTCACCGCAAACAATTTCAACGCTGTCCGCAGCGGAAAGCCGGGAAGTCTCAGCTGCCAAAGATGTCGACTCGCCAGGCAAGCGAGCTGAACAGAGCTTTTATCCCTCGTCATCGCCGACCTCTCCAGACACCAGGCAGCGCGCCGGCGGAGTCAGCGCCAACAGTTTGCGCGTTGTGCCCGCCTCCCCCAGCTATTTTACGGCGCGACCCAACTTTACCGACCACTACCTTTCCATCACTTCGCTCTACCGACGCCACCAACTCCTGCCCACCACGAACCGGTCGGAGACGAAGATCACTTGGCTCACACTCCCAGAATACAGGGAGCTCATTGGCAATGAGCCAGTTGCCCCAGGACGCTTCCGCGACTTGATTCGAATGTGTGGCCGGCTAGCGGCCATTAACCCGCATCTGATGCCAGACGAAGTGCACACGGTCTTGCAGAGCTTCATGAAGGAGGAGCAGCCCATTGTGCGTTTCAGCAAGAAGGCCGTCGTGGACGAGTGTGGGCGTGCGTATGGGTTGGGCCGACGCAAGGCCGCTACGGCGCGTGCCTGGATCGTCAGGGGAAAGGGCGAGGTGCTGGTCAACGGCAAGAGCCTAAGTCAGTACTTCAGCAGACTGCACCAACGCGAAAGCGCCCTCTACGCGCTGAGCGTGACGGATCGTGTGGGGGACTACAACGTCTTTGCCATCGTCGAGGGGGGTGGTACGACGGGTCAGGCGGAAGCATTGACGCTCGCGGTTGCAAAGGCTCTCATCGTGTACGAGCCTGCGTTGAAAATGAGGTTGAAGTCTGGTAAGTTTATCCTGACGCTCGTCTCCAACAGACGGGCCGCGATGTTGGAAGAATGCAAACTGATCCGTCCACTAGCTGGCTGTCTCACGCGCGACCGTCGTAGAGTAGAGAGGAAGAAGCCCGGTCACCTCAAGGCAAGGAAGAAGCCTGCTTGGGTCAAGCGTTAAGGAGACTACAAAGGACAACTCGTCTGGACTCTCGACTTGCACACACGTGTTTTTGTGTATATTATGTACTAAAAACTATATCCTGCATAGCATGGTGGAATTGGCCCGCGATGTCGTACCGCGTCAGATAGGATCAAGTTATACAATCCTCTTTACTGATTACTTCAAATGGAAGCGCGTAGGCATATCAACATTACCGGCTGCACCGCCCGCAGCCTCCGTTCTTTTTTTTTTTTTTTTTTTTTTTCTTCCGTCGAAATTTCGGAGTCAAGAGCCAGTCGGCAGCCGGGCACAGCGCTTTCTCTTGATTGTCCCGTGTTTCGTTCGGGAAACAGTCTCGAAGAAGAACAGCCTCCCAGAATCTGGCATATCCTCGAGCCTCCGTCCGCGAAGGCGTCTGTCGCGTAGGTTGATGCAAGGCTATCGACCGGCCGTTATTGACGTATCTAGACGTCTAACCAGACGGACATGTGATTCGCAGGAGACTGAAATCTCCTTGGTCAATTTGGAAGCTCCAGCTCGTGCGTGGTCAGGCGCTCTCTGCCACCGAACTGGACGAAAGAGCACGACCAGTAGGGAAAGATTTTTTTTTTCCCTTTTTTTTTCTCTTTAAGCTATTGCTCCCTGGCCTCTGCCATCTGTACAAAGCGTCATCAACAGGGGGCCAGAGCTCCCTCCGGAGCGTAACTTGAGCACGGACTGATGCTGGCTGCAAAAGAGGTGACCAAGGAAGACCGTCGAGATGCGACCTTACTCCAGCTAAGCGAGTCTAGGGTGGACGCGTCTTGCCCAGGGGGGCCGAACACGGTAGGCAAACACAATCAGTGAATGTAGCTCTCTCGCAGAGGAGGCTGTAGGCGGGACAACCACGTCGGACGATACGAGCTTGTGCCAAACTTCCCGTGACGGGTGAGTGTAGATCCAAGGCTGAACAGAAGAGTTGTCCGATGGCTTTCGGCACACGCACACCTGCAATGATTCAAAGTTGATTCGCAATGCGCAGGAGAAGCGGAGAAACGCAAGGACATGGAACAGCCAAAGTAACCGTGAGTCCAGCCTGGGACCCTCCTGCGGTTCATGAAGCGTAGAGGCCAAGTGTTTGGGTCTACAGCGGCAAAGGGTAAGCTGAGGCTCTGCGCGACGAGTCAAAAGCCAGAAGGGCGAACTGAGCCCGAAGACTCGACTCAACAGGGAAGGCTTCTAGAAGCCTGAAAGAAGGACGAGCTGGAAGGGGCGGGGCACACGAGAGTGGCAACGTCTTTGGTTCCCCACAGCGAGACACAACAGCCAAAGTGCACGGGGAAGGGCATGGGTCAACAAGGCAGCAGGAAAATGCACATGTAGCTTTGCAGCTTTGGACATCGATGTTCGGCGACGAAGACGAAGACGATGAGGATGATGATGCCGATGCCGATGGAATGAAGACGTATGCGCGCTCATTGTTCAGATGGGCAGAGGCGCACTGTCGGTCCCGGTAGGGCCGGCGGCAGCACAAAGAAAGTCGCGGCGTCTGGCAAAGGCAATGGCCCATAACAGAACCAAAGGGGCTTGGAGAGAAGTCGGTGTGCTGGTATTCTTTCCTATAGCGGAAGAGTCTAACTAAGAGCAGAGAGCCTTGGGACAGACAAGACTCGGAGTGGACAAGTCATCGCATTCGCTCCCATCCTGCGTGCATGCATGCAAGCCTGCCTTCAGCTGTCTGACGGTTGCTCGTCCTAGCGCTGCGCTGCTGGGCATCCTCCGTTCAAGGCAAGGATACAGCATGGGGCGCTCGACGGGCCGCAGGCAGATGGTACAGATCGTGTGGACCAGTTTCCTTTTTCCCGAGCAGATCGGCTGGACTCGCTGCATGAAGGGCGTGAGCATAGTTTGCCTGTCCGTGAAATTCAGCAGCCGTCCTGCTCGCCCTTGTGCCGCACACTGCTCTCCGCTCCTTGCGCCGGATCCTGGCTTGTACACGAACCACGGGCGGCTCGATTTTCAGCGTCTGTCCCCCCTTCGACCTTCCCTACTGACGACCCTGCGCCCTACATCACTCAACGTCCTCGGGCGCCTGGCATTGGACCGCTGCGCGAGTAGCTGGGGTGAGGTAAGCGGCTGCTTCGATACTACGCGTGGGCAAGTTCTTCTCCTTGCCTTGTTCAGTCTAGCTCTGGCTGGGCCTTGCCAGGCCGAGAACGCGTGTCTGCGTGCTTTTCGCAGCAGTCGTGGACTAGCAGGACGGCGTACAGTGCAGAAACCAAATCCCGTACATGCGTGGTGTGTTGGGGTTAGGGCGTGTGCTCTGCGCTTGAACGGGGAACGCCGTGGCGCCTGCCTGTTTGATCGCCCTACAGCGCGGCTACTACATCTGCATCTGCATCTGCGCCTGCTCCTGCACCTGCACCTTCACCTGCACCTGCCGGGGAGGACAAAAAGTGGAGAAAGGACGAGCATCTCACTTCCTCGCGCCTTCCATCCTCCCTTCCACTCTTCGCGGCGGCCAATGTGCACGTGCGCCAGCTGCATCGCCAGAAACAGAAACACCACGCCACAACACAACACGCTCGCATCCCATATTGCGCTGCCAGTTGCGCCTTCCCACGCTCGGCGATCGTCCCAGCGACACCCAGCGCCTTCCTTTCCCTTCCCTTCCCTTCCCGGGTTGTGCACAAGAGGCACCTGCCCGGAATCCCGTCCTCTTCCACTCCACTTCCTCTTCTGTCCACTTCGATGCCTCATAAACTTGACGCAACGATCCTCTGCCACAGCCAAATGACCTGACCGAGCACTGAATAAGAAAGGAAAAACAAAAGCAAGGACGCTAGAATTGCAGACGCCTTCGTTCTTTCAGCCTCCTGCTGCTCGTGTTCTAACTTTCAGATTCACTTCACGTTACATTGATCCTCTCCCGCAGTAAAGAGAGCCAGACGAACCCTCGAGTAACATCACTAGGCCCTTCTTGTCTATCGCCTTTATCCTGATCGCAGCCACAGCTTCACACCCTAACGCTCCGCGACCATTTGGTGGCGACGCCTCTTTCTCTCTGTATATCCATCTTAAGCCCCTCCCTCTTCCATCCCTTCGTTTCTTCCTTCACCCCTCTTTTTCTCTCCATCAATGCCGTCGTCACCGCCACAGCAAGCACCAGGTCTTCTTCCTACCAATTAGAGAAATACTTTCGAGTAACGGCGTTGGTTTCAACCTGGACTGAGCGGTCTACCACCCGTCTGTCCATGTCGTGATACTATTTGCCATTCTCTGCCTATTTTTACTCCGTGCTCACAATCTATTCTGCAGCGTCTAGCTTTCGCGAGCCACGGATCGTTCGAAGTGTTGCTGCCATAATCATGGCGCATGCCACGAGAAAAAAGAGCGCAGACGAGCCTGGTCTTCAAGTCATTTGCTTGGTTTGTAACCCTTGCCAACTTTTTAATTTTTTCTACAAGCATTGAAGCTTTTGTGTGGGACAGTTGCTTACATAGTTGCCTGCTATTTACGCATCAATGCAGCTGTCCGTATTCTCGAACCTCAACGCATATGCCACCAAGTACATGCTTGTATGCTGATTGCTTTTAGGGTTCTGGAGGAGGACCAAACGAAGATAATGTGACAGGGTTTCTGGTCCGTTCGACGGCATGTGATTGGCAGCAGCGCAATGGCGTTCTTGCTGTGGATGCAGGAACCCATCTCTCTGCAATCTGCCGTATACTGCTGGAGCACTTCCCGCTTGTTGCGGATCCGAGCCCTCGAGACCGCGGAAGCACAAAAAGTCCCGCCGCCAGTCCAAGCGGAGACGTGCTCTCGGAGGAGAATGACGAGTCGAGCACCACATCCGAGCGCTCGCCATCTCCTGAGCTCACCACAATCCAAAGCGGCCCTTTTCAAGGCGCAACATTCCCTCATCGTTCGGCAAGAGCCAACGCTGTTCATTTCGTCAGAGAACATGTCGACTCCTACCTCATAACCCACCCTCATCTCGATCATATTGCCGGCTTCGCGATGAACACTGCTGCATTTCACAACACATCGCGGCCGAAGAAGCTCGCCGCACTTCCATTCACCGTCAACTCCATCAAGCAGCATGTCTTCAACGACATTATATGGCCAAACTTGACTGACGAAGACGATGGAGTTGGGTTCGTGACTTTCCAACGTCTAGCAGAGGGCGGAAATCTCGCACTTGGGGAAGGACACTCGCGAGGATTTATCGAAGTTTGCAACGGTCTTGCGGTGAAGGGTTTCAAGGTTTCACATGGAACATGTGCATCAGCGCCAAAGTCTGATAGACGTGGGAGCCGGGAGACCATAGAGAGGCAAACGCAAGTGAATCAGGGCTCACATACACCACATCATGTACACCATTCCCATAATAGATCAGTGAACCACTCGCATAACACGGCTGCCAACAAAGTTGAAGGCTCCGGTATCTCAGATGGCGGTCGCCGATCGAGCGTGTTCAGTCAGCAATCACAACCAGGGACGCCCACATTCTTCACCGGGCAGGACCCTATTGCCCAGCCAGTAGTCGATAGCTCCGCCTACTTCATTCGCGCTGAGCATTCAGGGCGTGAGATCCTGATATTCGGTGACGTCGAGCCAGACTCGATCTCATTATCACCTAGGACACATATTGTCTGGGCGGAGGCCGCGCCAAAGATCGCTGCTGGTCTGCTTTCGGGCATCTTCATCGAGTGTTCGTACGACGACTCGCAGTCAGACAGCATCTTGTTTGGACACCTGGCACCACGTCACCTCATTGCGGAACTTCAGACCTTAGCAGATATGGTTGCAGAGCGAAGGCGGGAGCTTAACGAGAAGATAGGCAAGAAGCGTAAGAGATTCAGTTCGCATACGGCGGGTCGACCAAGGCCGAATAAGGACGGTAGTGCAGCGAACACGCCGACCAGCGATGATCTTATGCATGACATTATCCATCAAGAGGATATCCTCCCACTGCCGACTCCAACCAGCGCAAAGGTGCCGGTCACCCCCTTGAAGGATATCGAGCCACCACTCAAAGGTGTTAAGGTGATAATCATCCACGTCAAAGATTCGATGACGGATGGACCACTAGCCGGTGACTTGATCATGCGCGATTTGAAGGCGCATGAGCAACGGCTCAGTGACCAGGGTAAACCGTTAGGCTGTACCTTTGAGATCAGCAAGAGCGGTGATAGTTACTTCCTATAGCATCCTGGATTAAATCTCTTTGTAAGCTTTTCAACATCATTGCACTTATGTATGAGCGAGGATCGGTCTGGTGCGTTTCGGCTATTTCCTGAAAGAGACTTCCTTCTTTCGCACTACACGCAGAGAGATGTATATCTGTGCATGGAAGTCGTGGCAATTTGATGCGTGGACGTCTTATGACCAATCTAAGCTCTCAAACATGGCTTGTAAATTTTGCGTCATAATGTGTTACTTTTCACCCAAGACGAATATTTATGAAGAGCTTAACATTAAATTATACGGGCTGAAAATCGAAGCCTACATGCCCTTGTGCACAAGCTTGGTATTACGTATCCTTCAGGTATCAAATTGCCGTCGTCAGAAGGGCGGGTGTCGACGTAATCTGCATTTATCCTTTTTATTCATTTCCTTGCGCGACATGTTGACACGGACTAGGGGATCCATATACCAAAAGCCAACAGACTCAATTCGAGCCTGGTTCAGATTGAAGGCGAAAATTTCAAAATCTGTCAAAATGCTACGCGTAGGATGACCTCGCTCATGCAGGTTCGCGCCCGCGAATCCACTGATCCTCATTGAACACTGTTCAGGCTCACAATGCAATCGACTTCTAGACACAGTTAGCTTACTCGATTGAGTCAGTGAATTGAGGGTTTGAGAAAGGGAACTAAAAAGCCTCTTACCTTCTTGCATTGCTCCTGCTCCTCCTTGATCGAATCATTTCCTTCTTCTCCTTTTTCCATGCGAAACACTAGCCTTGTCACGTTGGAGGATTGTTTCATGAACTGAGTTGGAGAGGTACGGGGATTTGCAAAACTTAGAAAATGTGCAGAATAGCATGTCATGCTCATTTTGAACATGAATGCCAAGTGTGCAAGCGAGCGTAAAGACTGGGATGGGTATAGCTGGCTGCTATTACAGCAGCATTACAACTAGCTTTTCAAATGACTTTGATCTATCGTATCTGCCTCCAGAGCATTTCCAGGAACGAGGCACGTGTCTCGATTCATGTCATGCTGCTACGAATGACACGTGGATATACTGCCCTGTGGTGGCAGCCCGCAGGCCATGAATGGGATCGAATTAATGCAGCCACAGCCAGGGCTGAGTGGAAGGTAGCGCTGTGGACTAGCAAAAGTACCTTCCTCAAGACACGACAGTCCAATCTGCACGCATCGAAGGTGGTGATAACGTCCCGAATTGGCCGCTGTATCTGATCCGTGATCAGAAAAATGATTATGATCGTGACCCATTGAATATGAACCATAGGCTCTTTTCCTTCATCTCATAAGAGAGTACCAAGAATCAGCGAATGACATTCCGGTCCATGGCGTCTTCTCTTTCATTGTATGATGTTCAGCATGCCATATTACATCCTGCAACCGTTCAGGAACCCACGCCAGCGGCCGCGGGAATTCATATAGCGGGTCAACCGCGAAGGTGGGACGCAGGAAAGGGCCGCCGGCTACGACGGGGCTCGAAACAACTGTACGGTTCTCTTTCGTGACAATTCTCTTCCGCTCACGCTCACGCTCCGTCCATGGTGCCTGCGATGGATCTTCAGCTCCAGCACTGAAGACAAGCGGATCGATCGCACCTCCTGCTAGCGGCGGTGGTGTGACCGGCTCTCCTTCCTGAGCAGGATTTGCAGGCGAGAACAACTCGTCGGTAGTACCAGACTCGTTGAAAATAATCTTATTACCATCCAGGACAAGCAATGACGTCTGAAAAATTCAAGTTAGCTCTGTTGCTGCCGTCTAATATAATTTGGAAAAAAAAAAACTCACATCCTTGCTGGCGACGAGGAGAGCCCGGCTATATATGTCGCGAAGGCGAACTAGGTGATACATCTCTACCTCAGCGGAAGATCTCTCTCGGCGCATCACAGGCTTCATTGAGCCCTGATGATACCACATATCCATGTTCTCGTCTACATGGATGGGCTGGAATCCCATCGTGGCTTCTTCCTCATCGACAAGGTGCTCACAATCACCAATAGCAGGTATATCGAAGAGCGGGTATTGCTCATAGATACAATTAAGAGCATGCGCAAGCAAACGCCAGACTTGTCTGACATCCTCAGCAACTTCAAGATCTGGCGTGTTATTTTCGATGCATTCCTGCATGAAAGGCCAGTTGACGACAAACCAGAGAATGTATACGTGGATTGACTGCAGAGCGATGTTCGAAACCGGTGGAAGGGCGGCTTTATTATCCTGTGCAGCGATGCTCTCGCGTGCTTGCGACTCTAAATTTTCGCTGAGGTGATCAAGGAGAACTTTGAGCGTCTTGACGTTGTGGCGAAAGCAAAAGAAGTACATCTGCGCCCACTTCTGAGCGCGAATGCGGTCCTCATTCTTATGTGCCTGACCGAGAGTCTTTGCCCGGCTTAGAGCCACAGCTTCGGCAGCCATATTTATAAGCGTCATTGAAAGCAGTGTTTTGTCGAGATTAGTACCATCTTTAAGAGCCTGAGACAGACGGGCAAGAACCTCAGACTCCATTTCAACATGCTTGTCAAATAGTTGGCCTCGGAAGAAGTGAACATGCAATTGCAAAAACCAGGCTCTTAATGTTGCCACATTGTTGCTCTGATCATCTGATGACTTAACCTTCGGGATGATCTGATTCACGGGTACGGCCAGGCGCTTGCCCAGAAGCTTCTCCAGATTACCCGCAGCATGTGGATGGGGAAACGCCGACGTCATCGACTGGTACAGGTATGCTAAGGCCGGAAAGTATTTGCCATCGTCCTCAGCCAGAACAGCAAGTTGGTGTTTTGCCAGTCCAGATGACGGGTCGACCTCATAAGCCAGTTCGTAGTACAGCCGAGCCTTCTTCCATTGCGGGGTCTGAGATTGACGATCCACGTGAGCTTTGTGCCGCCAGCGCGAGAGGTCTCCAAGGTAGATTAGAGAATCACGGGTGGCAACCAAAGCGGCATCCTTTACTGCCTGCGTCGTGAACACAGGGCCTAAAGGTGACTGTGCTGATCCTGCCTCAGTCTTATTCTGGTTACCGCCATTGTTGAGGTAGGCTCCTGCAATATTGCCGAGGACAGAGACATCCGAACATTGATCATGGATGGAGCGTAGCAGGGCATTATATCCAGCCTGGCTACCTTTGATAAAAACGAGAAATTCTTTGGCTGTGTCCCGGTATGGCTTTGACGGGGCTTGCTGCGAATGAGGGCTTAGCTGTGTGACTTGTCAGCTTGACAATTCATTGGCTACTTGTAGAAACGGGAAGGGATCAGAACACGTACTTTGCTTAAAGCTTGCACGAACTTGCCTCGAACTCGGGTGTGCGTCTCCCAAAGCGCTGTAAGAATGTTGCTAGTCTCCGGTCCGGCGAGATCTGGTAGCACTGCGTCGTAACACGCTTGACGATATCTGTGTACATATGAGCATCGAGCACATGGTTCCCAGGACATTGAGGAAGAAGAGGGAGAGCGTACGCAGCAAATGCAGGTTCGAGATGAACGCCGAAGTTGTTGACGAGCTGAGAGCCGCTGAACTTGTGATGGAGCTGTTCGAGAAGGTGCTTCTTCGAGGACTCAACCCTGCTGAAAACATTACCAACTCTGGTCAGCACAGGTCTTACAATTGGAAACGGTAGCCGACTACGGCGCAGACGGGCGATAGGCAGCGACAACTTACGCAAGGCGCTGGGCAGAGTCCATGCTGTGCGCGTTGCCCACGTATACTGTCAGGCTCCGTCTCTTGCTGAAAGCTCGTCCGTACGGACGGGAGAGAGGCACCGAGCAGCTCGCGCTATGTACGATGCGTGTGAAAGGCGGACTCAGCGGGTTCCGAACGTAGCATAGGTGCGGTCGTTGTAGAGTCTGGGGGACGGCGAACTCGCGAAGAGGCCGTCCTGATCGACTCAAGATAATGGGTGTAATAGTCTTCGAGCGGCGGAAGACTGTCAACAACGTGGTGCTGGGCGGAACTGTGATCGGTGGTCAGGTCGTACGAGGCGATGAGGGATGTTAACGTTGGGGTGGAGCACCTGAGGGAGATCATCCGTGGCGCGCGTAACCTTGTATGGACTGCGGGTCGGGGGGTTACCGAAAGCTTAGCACCAATCCCACCAGCAACACAACATATATGGGTGTCTGGAGCAAGCGTTGCCCTGTGGTTTCCTATCGTTCCGGACTCTGCATATGCCAAAGGCGCCATAAAGGTGCCATCTATGAGCGGCTACCAACGTAGGAGCCAGCTTTTGATGAAAAGCGGTGTATAAAGAGCGGCTCCTGCGCCCCACATCGACAGACCGCAGCCAGCATTGCCAAGTAGCTCGATTGTTCTTTTTGTGCCTTCAAACTGGCAATAGCTCTACAGTTCCTTACATATAATCTAAAAAATGACTGGTGGGAAACGTACTCGCGTCGTTGGCGCTCCGGACGCCGAGATCGATCCAGCAGAGTCGAGCTCTGACGAGTCGAGCGCTGAAGAATTACCCGGTGTCCAGTCGCCCAAGAAGAGAATACAGTTAGATGCCACAGAGTCTGGCAAATCGTCAGGTGACAGGCCAATACGCTGCTCTTTGCCTCCACACGACGAGATGGAGTTTGATTCGTATGAGGCATATGAGACCCATTTTGAACAGCAGCATCGATACCGATGTTCAGAATGCTGTAGAAACTTCCCCTCGGATCATTATTTGCAGTTGCATATCGCAGAGAACCATGATCCGATCACTGCAGTCAAAAGGGAACGGGGAGAGAAGACGGTATGTATTCGAAGCGGAAGCAATGTAATGGATACTGATCACCGAGATGCTGACACGAAAACCAGTTTGCGTGCTTTGTCGAAGATTGCGAGCGCAAATGCTCTACTGCACAGAAACGCCGTATGCATATGATTGATAAACATGGCTTTCCCAAGGTGAGCCAGCTGAGTCTCTCATACCATTGTCGCCGTTCCTGCACCGTCGCAGTGTACGACGAACAAATCAGATCTTGGCACTTAATTGGGGACCAGCTATTGATTACTTATTAGCTCTATGATTTCTTCATAGTCAACGATGGCATAGACAGGCGCACTTCAATGCTGCGCCAACATACTAATCGCAAGCATCGACCTCGAGCGCCCTTGACTGCGGATGCGTCCGAGTTAGATCCCGAAGCACAGCTCTCGTCATTAACAAAGTCAATGTCGGCCCTCAAGTTCGTGCCTCGAAATGTTAAGTTTGGCCGTGGAGGCTCCAAGTCCTTTACTAGATAACAGTACATGCAAGAATAACCACACCGTTTCCATCTGAATTGAACTCAAAACCGCGCATACGTGAACAAATGAGGTCAAGGATGGAACAAATCCAATCCACTTGCTCTTCCAAGACCCTCTTCCCAGGAACAACGCGAGTTTGAGCTATCACGGGAGTAAGGCTTTTGCCGCTGTCAGCGCCAAAATGACGCCAGTGAAGACAAAGACGCCCATTTGAAACAGGATGACCTCTGGAAGACACCGTGCCCTCAAAGACTGATTGCGAAGTTTTGCTTTATACCAATGCGATCTGTGAGATGAGCGGTCGATGATTTGAACTCGTGTATGTGAGATGAAGGTTTCATTTGCTAGAAGATCGACGACAGGACATCCACTTTTAAGAATGTGCTGTCTGAATTTCATCCTTAAACCACGCAAGAGTTGCCCAGTACGCTGAGCCGAATGGCAAATCGCTAGCTAAGCCGGGCTGACGTCTTGACAGTTCTGAGATTCCTCAGTCGTTCACCCCATCTTATCATCTCTCTGATAACTCAGTGCGGACTTTAACGCAAGTAACATCTCCTGGAGACAAATTCAGTTACACCGTGAATGTCCAAGTTCACGGACAGGGTTACGTTATGTAGCCAGCGACTATCATTTCCATGAGCGCGGTCAGACATCTCATTTCTCAAGCTGTTGAAGGCAATTTCGTTGAGCATTCCAATCATTCGGATGGCGCCGAAAATCACAAATAAATCTTCGAATGTGGATTACAATTTTTTGTGTCTGGAGGGCGTCGTTATTTCCCGGCAGGCCATAGCAGAAGCTTTCTTAGCTGAACAGGAAATTCAAACGAACTTGTTTGTGAAAATGCAGTCATAAAAATGGTTCTCCGTTCCACTTCTTTATACCCCTTAATTGCTTATTAACGCAGTAAATGGACGGAATTTGCATTCAAAGTTAGTTCTAGATTGACATTGTTAATGTCCTTATATTGCTTTCTCGTCTTGTGCAGGTTAAGCGGTCTGTGAGATTAGATGGTGTGTATGACAGGAATTGTAATCTAGTCTTATTTGTTCATTGCACGCTCAGGCCTATGACACGTGTTGCTCAAAACCGCTAGCTTTTCTCATACAAATGCGTCTTATGCCACGAAACCGGCGTCGCATATATTACGTTCATGTACGCCGAGCACGAAAGAGGGGCGACTTTTGGCCCACTTCCACTATTCAACCACATGCATAAAACATCACGGTCCAAAGTATCGTGATTGCTCTTGGCCCTCAATCTCCAGCGCCACTGATGCCCCGAAAAGATTTTTCCACGGTGTCCTCAGGATCAGACGCCGATCCGGACCCGGATCCTTAACCCTGTCTAATTGATGTGGAAAGGTGTTATACAGTGCTCTCGCATCGTCGGCAATCAGCCTGTTGCACACCAAGATTTTCACCTCGCAGTTTGGCGGCACCCTGTCCGTCAAACCAAGTAGGACCTCCCTAAATGTGTTGTCGTTCTCCCATCTCTCGAATCGGCCGGCAATATTGCCGTTCATGGCATTCAAGAAACTAGAGCGGAATTGTATATGCAGCGTACGCAAGTTCGGGTAGTCCTTTTGCAGCGAACGTTCCACCCTGGTTGAGCTTAGGTATCCGGACCATATGGCCTTGACATCCCTGTCTCTGATCTGGAACAGCAACTTGGTAACACTACGGCCCAGATCCGGGTTGTGCGCCCAAAGGAACATGTTTGCATCGCTTGGGTGAATGAAATGTAACGTGTTGGAATAAAGGATGGCAACAGCCTCTTTGTATATAGTGGAGCATGTTCGTAGCAGCTGCGGCTGCAGTTCGAGATTAAGACGGTCGACGGGCCACATCACCGAGTACTTGCTACTTAGGCAGTAGTTGTAGATGCGCACCCTGATGTCTTTGGGCAACCGGAACAGCGGACTGTTCGCGACGGACTTAGGCAGGCTCATGAATTGTTCCTCGTTCGAAATCTGCGGCGTCAGCACCTGCTGTGCGTCTGCGTACGTCGACGGATCGGTCGTCGGACTCTCTGGGTCCATGGTATCGCTCATGACCACGTCCGAGGCCGTAGAGTTTGCACGATCACGCATGGCCACGTCGGAGGGTGAGTGCGGCGATTGAGTTGCCATAGCAAGGCTTGGTGGGAGTATGCGGTGGACAGCAGGGAAAGGGCCGCTCCGCGTAGAGGGCCGTCTACCGATCGCGATGTGCTTTGAATTTCAGGATTGTCTGCGCCGTGGCTCCTAGGTCTTGAAGGGGTGCACTATCTCGACGTTGCTTACTCTGGTCCGAAACATGGGGCACTGCTTGAGGTCAATGGCTTGGGTCAGAGGTTGTGACACTAAGCTAAATGGAGTTTAGCTGAGCTGACGGCTTTCGAAACCACCATCTTTACTTGATGCCTACCATGTTGTTGTTCACCAAAGCTTCCCGCTTCTCGTCCATTCACTTTCCATGGCCTTTCCCTTGGAAGACCACTCACAGGGATTGCCTATCTGACTCCCTGTTTTAGCCTTTGCTCTGGTGTTGTTTCCTTCTTGCTTCAGTCTATGGCTTCCCTCGTCTGGATCTATCTGCCGACTCTACATCCCGCACGTTTCTTCCACTCTCTCCCGTCTGCCAGGCCAGAGTGCCATCTTACGTCTTCCCTCACGCACATTTTGTAATACTTGCCGCCCTTAGAGCTTCTTTACGCATACACGTCAGATTTCTCAAACGCATGACGCCAGAACCAACGGGCCCCATCCTGTCAGATCGCTTGTGGGAGCTTGACTTGCAAAGATGAACTGCGCGAGGCGAGGTCCGGCGTCGAACTAATGTACTATTGAGCTTCAGTTTACCTCTTTGTTGCCTCTGACTGAGTGATGACTTGGGAGATGATTTTTTTTCTCCTGACTGACGAATACGTCTACGCCCTCTATGACAATCATTACATCGCATCTTTGCTTTTTTTTTTAGATTGGGTCTAGGCCCTGAGAACCTCATCTCACCATTTCAGGCAAGTCTCACATTTCTCATGTCTACATGTGTGACGTTAAGGCCAGTCTCTGTCAAAAGAAGCTTGGGCTCCACGCTATATCTTTAACTTTTCAGGGGGCCTGAAGCGGTTTGATGTCTCTTGGGCGTCGAATACTAGTCGTTCCAGTTCCCCCCCGCATAATAAGGCCGATGCCTCCAGATCTGACTAAAGGACTTCAACGATGTGTCGCCGATCCAATGCCTGTCGAGCTCCTTGGCCTATCCCTTCTCTTGAAGCTATGGTTAAACTGCAATGTATTGCATCCTTAGCAGCGATTTAAATCATATTCAAAGCCGTAGATCAACGATCTATCTTCCCTTTTCAATGTGTAACTCCGTCGACCCCCTATTGTAAACATCATAACCCTTTCCTGTGGATGTTGGCAAAAAGCAGGCCATCTTTCCCTCTCATTAGGTCACTCCCTTTGGAGTACAATTCGAGAACGAATTCTGCACCGTCCTCTCATCATTCTCTGTACACTTGGATATGTACCAGGCCCTATGGTAATACCGTCTCTGAACACAAAAGTTTTAGATAAGTATTTACGCTTTTGAATCAAAAAATTCGCTCGGTATGAATAAGATTTGCGCTCCCAAATACGTGACTTGAGATGAAAACTTGTGGGACTGAGAAGTAGTCCAGATTATGACGCAATGGCCGACATTGAGGCTCGAAAGCTGTCTAGAGCGAAAAAGAGAAAGCTGACCGAGAGTGAAATGCAAAAAGTTCGTTCTTGGTCAAAAGTGCGGCTCTTGGAAACATCCTTGCCTGCACCACGAACGACGGCGGGTCCAAAGGATTCCACCTCGCCTTGTTGCAAATGCGAACCAGTAATTGTACCGCAATCCCTTTTGCTACCTTCTGAAACCAACAACTGATCACCGTCCAGGAGATACGTTTGGTGCGATCGCAACTGTCTCTACACAAATCGCAGCCATATTATGCTGAGCACCTTCTATGTAATGGTGAGATCACGATTTTCGCAGCTATCGAGAGTCAGAGTCGCCCTCCACTCAGCTTGAACGCTCCTGACCAGGCGGAATCGGCGTGGTCGCTTCCTATGAGCGACTGGTATCGCATGTCACACTTCAGCCTACGTCTTATCATTGATGTTGACTCCGCATCAAGCGGCTGCCACGAGCATGTTCACGAAGAACCTCGGTCATTGCGCGCCATAGGGCTCCGCAATATTTACGGATTATCGGACGTACCCTTCATCCATACCATGTCTTCATGCCGTATGCATATCGAAGTTTTCAATGTAGATCTCAGCTTCGCAAAATATCATGCCGCTGGAACACACTCCAAGGCCAGCCCGCTGCAGATTCAATATCACGAATCCAGTCGGAGGCATGTACTTGAAATTGTTGCTCATAGACTTGCTAGGATCCTTCGTTCACGCGTGTACCCGATGTTGAACTTCAGCCTGACACTGACGTTGTGGCCTGGCTGTGTAGGCAGTCGGTCCGAACTTGGCTACGATCCATACTTCGTTTCGGCCAGAGACATGTGGGCCATGTGGGACATGCTAGAGCCACTCGTTGGTGTTCCGGGCTTACAGTGCTTGGTAGTGAGAAGATTAAAGGGAAGAGCTGTGTGGACTCGACGGACGAGTAGCTTGTATCCGTTGAATGAACCTCTCGTGAGAGTGGCAATGGCGGGACGATGACTTGCTTGGTAAAGCCCGTAAATCAGATGAAATATGCTCTTTCTAAACATACCTCAAAGGAAAAAGGGTTTTCATTTCAGGAAAAGCAGAAATCTGCTTCGCTACCTCCGTCTGTGCAAAATAGTATCTTCGGCGGCTGGGATCCTCCAAATTGTTTACCACAATCTTGTCCTTGCATACCTTCTTTCAAGCCAGACTCAGCTCCATCTTCTCTCTTGTACCAAATTTTACACGCCCCGTTGCAGGCCTCACCAAGACCGGTCTAAAGGACGGATCCCCAATCTCGCTGCATAGGACCTCCCAATTCGTGTGTCAAAATGCACCTTCTTTTACGAATTTACGCCCAGCGAGCCATTCGTGAGGTTAATTCAACTTTCCACTTGCGGTATAACTAAATACGAAGCCGACGTAGAAGACAAACCAATCTTTGATATGCAGCCCATTGGCTGGGCAACGCACCGAGAGCCTACGATGTGTTAACCCGTCTCAAAATTTCCGCGGAAGAATGGGCCACTATGACAGGCCTGTCCCGATAACTTTAATTATTTTTCTTTGACACGAGGTAAAGTTTGTTGGACAAATGCACGCGTAGTATCAATGACGTGAGTGAATCATGAAATTTTGATCAGGTACCAGCGGTGTCGTTCCTGGAATGCGGATCTTCATCTTCTACGGAAGCATTAGCAATTCGTGCACTACCATCACAAGGTTGCCACTTTCTCAAGCAGGATTAATTGGCGCACGGCAAGAGTAGATTCCACGGATTGGTGACGCGAAGCTTAGAACATGCAGCAAAAGAGAAAGATTTTTTTTTTCTGAACATCAAAAGGTGTCAATATGACAGTCATTTTCGTCGATGCTGCATGAATACCTCGCTCTTTGCTAGCTAGCTATTGTAGCTAAAGAACCGTCAGCTGCTGCAATTGATACAGGTGATTTGACGCCCCTAATCTTCATCCACACTGGAGCAACTTCGACGTTAACGAGTGCTTAAACGCCTCTACATGGCACGTGTGCGAGATATCATCTCGTCATGCAGGTATTGTCCCTTGGTCGCTCGCCAACCATCACCTACGGTCTTCAAAGCACGTTGCCACTTGGCGACTGGTAAAATATGTCAAAAAGTCTGTCCAAGTTACGCTCAGAATGCCTCTCCAAGTGCACTCCAGGTCCACGTAAGCTCAAGGGGAGCGCCGTCGTCCTCGCTCGTGCTACGACCCTTCTCATCGTCACTCGAATCGAGCAGGGTCGACGAGCTAGCGTCGCTTTTCGTACTCATCGTGGACGACGACGAAGCCTCACTCAACTTCCGCACCAAGGCCGCGTTCTTCTTCTCGAGCTTCTTCTGAAAGTCCTCACGCCTCTTGTTCTCGGCGAGCTTCTTCAAACCTTTCCCCAGTCTTTGCGGGGGGAATTTGGATAGATCGTCACGGCTGTAGTTCTTCGCGAACACTGCGTAGTACTCCTCCGGTGTATCGCATCTTGCGGCATCTGATTTCGACTTGTCTGCAAGTGTCGCCAAGACGGCGGAGATGACGGCATGCCGCTGCTCAAGTTTCTGCCGCCTTCCAGAAGAGCAAAACCTCGAAGCCATTGTCGCAGAAGTCGGATTCCGGTTGTTGCTGATGAATATTGAACTTTTCCCTGGTAGCCGTGTCGTGACCGCGCTGTTCAATCGTCAAATCGCTCTGAAGACCCGACTGTGCAATATTTCGCAATCGACACGCATAAGCCGTATAGTTGTACGGCACGTGCTTCTCCAGGTTAAATATTGTTCAGCTGCTGGCCAGTGATAACGCTATCAGCGGAGCTGACCGGACGGGGACTTAACAACAGCGGGGTTGGCCAATTAGGCTCGGGCCGTTTTGCGGTAACTTTAATGCACCGCATGTGTCCGAAAGTGGGCTCGTCTATCGACTGTTCTTGAAACCCGTGGCTGATCGCTATGCCCGTTCCAAATCAACGTTTTCGCCGGACGCGATAGATGACGCATCTTAAAACATTCTTCCTTCACGACGCTTTGCCTGGAAGTAGACAGTCCTGATCAGGCGAGCGACACGTGTCTCTCTCCTCACGTAACTTATCTTAATATTCTTGTCTTGCACGTGAGAGTTCTTAGCGGGGCGAAGGGCACCATCCTGCTCCGACTAACAAAAGTCGCTTGTGGTTTGTGCCTCTCGCTCGCACACGCTTGTATTTGTCGTGGCTTGTTTCTTTCTTTTTTTATTTTCCTGAGGAAAAAAAGTTAAGAGCTACTTCTAAGAATCCGGTTATCTTAGGGGCTGGCGGCCTTCAGGACTAAAGATTCCACATTCCCACGCTTCTAACAGTTCACGGAATGCATCCTTGCCTTCGCCACGCCGGCTAGACGTGAAAAAAAGAAGTGAGCTACTACCGTACCGATCGCCTCAAACTATTTGGAGGAGATTCTGACGCGTCAGCCAGTCAACAAGAATCTGAAAAAGAAGGATTGTGACCTCGTGAGGCAAATCCGGTCCAGAACTCAGCTCGTGCTCTTGAACAGTCCTCGCTTGCTGATGAATTTCCAAAATCTTATATCCGCTCGGTGATTGTGTTACTGTTCGCTGACGAAGGCTTGTCATGTCAGCTTAATCCGGTACGATCACTTGGATGAGATGCTTTAAAAGCATCATCAAAATATGTTTAACCTGCAACGCTCGTCGGGCGGTCATTCTGCGCTAGCATACGGGAAGAGCCCGTGTCATGAACGGCAGTAGATCAGTGCACCTGCGTCGCAGACATCGCTCGTAGAGAACGATTTGTGAAGCTATCATAGCCGGTTGGTGCACCTCTTTGGACACCCTTCGAGTCACCAAGAAATCAAAACCGGTAGACAGCGCATTCAATACTTCGCCTCCAGCCATTGAGAGGCGACTATACTGCGTTATATACAGTTGCGATAGAACTGTCAGTGCCAAACCCGGCCCGCATGTGAAACGCGAGACAGGAATCAGACTAAGGGCAAGGTTGGAAATTTTGAGTACACGAACGCTCAATCGTAAATCACGTATATGCACCGATCGGTGCTTACTCGTCACCCGTCTCTTTATGTTCTCTTTTTGGGGGGCAGACCTTAATTTGATTCTGAGTCCGTCTCTTCATAAGTCCTCGAAGCGGCACAAGAAGCGCTGGGCCAAGCTTCCTCGTGCCCAACTTCTCGATTCAGATGCTGTCTCTTGCGCTGCACCAGGCATTCGATGCGAAGCAACTGAATTTCCAAATGTATTCAACAACTGCCTTCTCGTGCTTGCTCAACGAACTTGTCGTAGATGTAGTAACAAGACTCTCAGATACACATAACTCTCCACATGAACCCCCTCCAGCTTCTAAATCTGATCGACCAATGCATAAATTCTTCCAAATAGTTACGATGCCACTTCTTTTGTCGCATGATCACGGGCCCATGGGATATAATTCAAGGACAACTGGCAGCCTCGTTGATAAGAGTTTCCACATGTTTAAACCATGCGAGGTTCTCGGGCGGCAAATTAGCAATAAATGCGTCAAAGGCTGGTATCATACTGCGATACATCGCAATGACCTGAGTAACATTAACAACCTTTCGTACCGAAGGTACCGCACGAGAACTCACCTGTTGAAAACTTTGAGTAGCCGCCTTGTTTTCTAGGTATTGCGGCGGCGCACTCTGCTGATCCTCAGACCTCCCCGTCAATGCAATCACATTCAGGTAGTCAAGCAGAGAAGTCTCCATGGCTTGAGGGTTCTTCAACACGGCCAAGTTGAAGCCCCACATGGCGTCGCTCTTCTCCTCTGTCATCATCACGTGACTCATAGATCTTACCCATGGAGGTGCCAATTCAGCCAAATGCTGGGCGATCTTGTCCGAGTTGTGTAGACTTAGGCGGCCAATTGCTATCGCAGCGTTCTCATTGAGCGACTGCGGTACGTGTTGATCGAAAAGAATGACAGCAAGCTTCTGTAGGAATTTCTCGAGGTAGTCTGACATGCCCTCCGTTTGCCGTTTTGCAATCTCGCCCAAGGACCAGCAGGCGTTGTTGACCACGGCATGTGCAGCTGGATCGCTGCCCAGCTTCTCGATATTGAGCTGCTGGAGCAGGATATCAAGGATGGCAGGCAATATTGGCCGCATCTGAGAGAAGCAATAGATTGCACAATCGCCAAGCAAAGCGTACGAGGATTGCCGCACTTCGTTGTTCTTGTTTCGCATACAGTACGTGAGCAGGGTAAAAATATTTGGCTGCGTGCCACTTATAAGCGCTTCCGTAGAGGCTGGGCTGAGCGCTTGTACGATGCCGCTTAGCAGGTCCAGGCTTGTGACCAGGAAGTCCTTTACGTCAGGTTGGTCATAGGCAGGCAAGTTGGCGGCCTGGTGCGTCTCCTCCAAGTTCGTTTGTATGAGCTTGATGCATCGCGTGAAGATCGGTTGCGCGAAAGGTGTGAAATCTTCTCCAAGAGCGATGGCGACGTACGACAAGCATTCAAGAAGGGGGAACATCTCCCTTGATTGGTCGTTGACTCGTTGCCATCGCTGGATCAAAGCGGGCATGAGCATATTGATTAACTCTGGTTTCTTCAGGTGGTGCCCGATGTGCTCCGCCAGCGTCTGAACGCAGTCGTACAGGATGTACATGTTGCGGTCTTTGTATATGGCGAAGCACTTCACAAATTGTCGCACAATAACGACTGCGTACGGGATGAGTTGGCTCTTCGCTTTCTCTTCCAGATTTGCAAATGCGGATGCGGCTGCTTCTTGCACGCGTTTGTTGCGGTCCAACATCTTGGTGAGCAGAGCATCCATAACGGGTTGAAAGTACTGCCTCTGGCCTTCCTCATCGAGGTGAGCTGACCAGCCCGAGTATCGGCCCAGCGCCCAGCATGCTATCTGCCGCACGACGGCCTGCTGGTCACTAAGAACAGTGAGAAGATAGGAGGTGAGTTCCGGGAGATGAGGCTGAACCACGTTCATGCAACCATCGGCAATAGCACCAACCGCCAGGACCGCCGCTTCTCTTCTCGGCCACTCGGACGAGCTCAGGTTCTCCTTGAGGTATGGCAAGGTAAGCTCAAAGACCTGTATGTTGAACTGCGAAGCCAGGACATCCAGCGCTGCTGCAGAGCATTTGCGCAGATTCCAGGCCTCGGCAGGGTCCTCGCCATCGTCATCGTCATCATCAATTTCTTCTATTTCGCCCTCGCTGAGGTCATCGTCCTCGTCTGGAATCGCAGCCGAACCGTTGATGCCGTTAGATGACCGAGAGCTCACCTCCGCTGTCGTTCGCGCGTCCTTCGTGGTGGCAAATGCAGGCTTGATGTCCTCCGCCCTATCCTCCTGATCCGCGTCCTCCTGCTCGCCTTCTAACCGAAATTGGTCGTCCTCGCCATAAACCATGCTCTCGAGCAAGACGGGCACAATCTGCTGTAGGTACGGTTCGAGAACGCGGCACAGTTTTTCGTCTTCGCCCAGGCACAGCCAGAACTCGGCAGCGTCCAGAGCCAAGTCCGCATCGTCCTCCGACGATTGCTGCACGAGGACAAAGTTGACTATACCTTGCATGTGGGGAACAATGCGATCCGGCGCGATCTCTGCGAACCGCGTGAGCGAGCGGCAAACGTACTTTCGCACTTCGCTGCTGCTGTCGTTCGCAAGTTCAAACAAACGCTGCAAAAAAGCGTCATAGTGCAGAGGCACGACCTGCGACTTCTCCGGGAGAAAAAGATTGATAGCTGACAGGGCCGTCGCACGTACGGTAGGGCTTTCGTGGCGGGTGAAGTCGATAAGCTTAGGGAACAGGAAGGACAGCGGCCGTTCACCGTTGTAGTCGCGATCCAGCGCCCGCTTGTTGTCCTCGCACACCTTGTTGAGGGCACTCATAGCGCCTTCCTGTGTACGCTGTGGAATGTCTCCCGTCTTGTTCTCGACGAGACCGACCAGATTTGCCAGCAGCGAAGGCCAAGACATGACGCCACCCTGGCGAAGCAGCTCGGTGACGACGTTCCCGGTGTAGTTCCTTATCTGAGCGTTGACATCTTGTAGACCCTGCAATATGACAGAGCGCATGTACGTCTTGCTGTTGTCGGGAAGGGCCTTGTACGAGGTACGGATAAGGTTTCTGAGGGCTATAGCGCCGGCGCTCCGTGCCATGTGGTAGCCCTCAGTCGACAGATTGGCCGAAGTGGGACATTGGGAGGTGATGACTAGGTAGGTCAGGTAGTTTGCGTAGTCTTCCGATTCGCTAGCGCGCTTGAGCAGCTGTTCGGAGTCAGTCAGCGAAAACGCAAGTTGGATGCCATAGCCGTCCAACGTACGAGCTCTGCGGTCTGCCGGGCCGTCTGCAAGGGACTGAGCGAGTCCTTGAGACACTGGATGAGCTGGATAAGCTGTGCAGGCTGCGGTTGCCAGGCCATCATGGCAACGGGCGGCGACGGGGACAGGGTCTCCGGGACGTGAAGAAGGAGACAGACTGGGCGCAGGGCAGTGGTAGGTGTTTCGGCGGGTTTGCTCGAGAGGCGAGAAAATGGACGACGACGCAGACCAATCGGAGCACGGATGAGGCTTGCTCAAAGTCGCCCAGCGGCGATACGGAAGTCGGACGCAGGATGGGCAGACGAACTAAGGTGGATTGCGTTCGATGGAGACGAGAGGACGAAATTGGCCGTCGCGGGAGCTGGAGAAGCGAGCGTGTTAGCGTCCTGACAGTGTTCTGCTCAGACGTGGTGTTGCACATGGAAAACCCAACCAGACTAGCGCGGGAAGAACAATGCTTTGGGCGGAGAGCGGACAGCAAAAGAAAAAAAACGTAGAGAGGGGGAGGGGAAAACAGAATCAATGACGCGGCTTCTTACAGAGTGACAAGCTGGAGGGGTTTCTAGTTGCGAGGGGGCAACGACATTTCGAGACGGTGCATGGAATCGAGAAAGGAGGAGAAAGCGGCAGGAGTAACGAGTTGTCGAAACTGTATGTTGCTTCGGAAATGGGTGCAGAGAGGGCGTGTGGGTGAGTGTGTTTGTGGGCGCGCGTGTGTGCGCGGGCGGTGGGTGCGGGCGAGCGTGAGCGTGGGCGAGCGTGTACGTGAGGCCGTCCATGTTGTACACGTCGGGCTTGGTGGGGGGATGGGAGAGCGGACGCAGGCCGAGGACCCAGCAATTAGGGGGGGCGGCTGGCGTGGACCGGGCACAGCCGTAGGGGGTACTGCCTGGGAGCGGGGGCATCAGTTTGGACGGTGCAGAGAGAGGAACGGACGACGTGGACGTCGAGCAGTGCCACCTTTCAGAGCTGGGAGGTCAGACGTGTACATATCAGCATATGTGCGTATATACCAGTACGCCTTCAAAACTTTTCTCTCCGCCTGCCCGCCTGTGCCGAGCTGTGAGTGGAACGTTGTAGATGGTCCCGAGTACGTTGTACCCACGAGGTGCTACATGATGGGCAGGAACCTCAGGCTTTAGAGACGGCCCAGCGGATGGTTAGGCCGAGTGATAGCTGCGGAACAGCACCAAACTTCGAAACGAGACTTCAGTGGACTAATTGGGCTGGCCAAAGATGGGAATGCAAACACGCTCGCTTGCCATGACTGCCCTTGCTTCGCAGGCATGCTGGCTCAACAGCTTATACGCCCACGCCTGCTACGACCAACACCTCTCCCCATGGCCGCTCATTTGACCCTGCCTGCAGCTCAGCTGATGCTCGCGAACAACAACGCTCTTATCCTCCGGCTTAACTATAGAGGCCAAGTCTTCTGGATGTAAATGTACATGATGGGCATGTCGATCATGATGATAAGCAGAGAAAGCCTATCCACAACTCTCATCGAGGCACGCTCTGCCTCGACAGGCGAACGCCGTGAATTCACTACAATCAAAGGACAGGGGCACGGCTCGTCCTCACCCTTCGCCGCGCACGGCAAGCTACACGAAGCGCAGATTTACCCATAAGCCTGAGGGAAGGTGCGTTCCAATGAGGGGAATAACCATAGTCTCCTCGTCTCTCCGCGGAAGATTCATGGCAGAGTTGCCAATGTCGCCAACCAGCAGCTCTCCTCACCTGCTTGGATCGAGAGCAGATTCCGTACGATGCTGATACCCACTGTCGGCCAGGGCGGAGCTGTCTGGAGACCTTTCCGGAATTAGCTATCTACAGACCTGGACAGTCGAGAAATGAACCTACCCAGACGAGCCATGGCGAGCTCGCTGTCCCCACGCGTCAATCTCCGCGAACAAAAAAGCCTCGAGGTGCGCCAGCGTGTCAGCGTCACGGTCCCTGCTGACGACGCGATCGATGGCGCCGCCATCCCACGCAAAACCAAACCACAGCAGTGTCCCGATAACTTTGGCAATGTGGACCGCCTTGAGCAGCTCCGGCTTGATCTGTAGCTCTGGGATTTTAGCCAGGAGTGTCGACCAGAAGTGCAAGCGAAGCGTGGGAGCGCCATCGTAGTACGTAAAGCTCACCACTGAATCAGTCATCGAGTCACGACGTTTGCAATCAAAGCCCAGAAGATACTCCAGGCCGTAGAAGGCCATACCGAAGGGCAGAAATTCCGCTTCTGCCCAGTCCACCATGCCCTGAAGCACTCCTGTGTCAGGATGGACCATGATGTTGCTGGGTACAACGTCACCGTGGGTCAGAACCACAGGTAACGTCTCCAGCAGTGGAAGGGAGTCCGATGCCCATCTCGCCACCGCTCTTAAGGCCTCCGATGGCAACTGGCTTGAAAGCTGATCCAGCTTGAACTGAAGTTGCGAGCCTACCCTGCCGCTGCAATAAGACCTGTTTGACTTGTGGTGCCAGCCTCGTGCAAAAAAACGTGCTAGATGACCCACAAGTATTCGTTGTTGCACCATGGTCTCGTCGTCCGTGGTTTTTCTTCGAGGTACAAGGTCGGAAAAGGGCACTCCAGGGACCAGATCCAGCTCGTAAAAGAAAAACGTTTGTTCTCCTTCTTCGGTTGTCAGTGGCATCGTAGCAAGCAGCCTGGTGGCTGGTGCGAGATGTCCGTAGACTCGCGTGGCCTCGTCCGTAATGTCCAAGTTCAAAGAGAACCGTGACTCCCGCGCCTGAATGATTTTTCGCGTCTGCAGTCCAGCATCGGTCGTCACCAGCAAAGCAGTATAACTACATGCGCCTTGCGTATCCAGCTCCAATAGCTGAAAGTCCTCGTAAATAGCTCGCAAGATCTTCTCGACCGCCGCCGACAAAACCAGAGCGATACAATCCATGGTGGCTATGTGAGAGGAAAAGATTTAGTGGTAAACGACGTCGATGGATTCCTCAACATAACAGTCCCAACTGAGAGCATGCGGGGCACGAAATCTGGGGTAGCACGGTCTAGACTAGGTTAAAAGTACGAAAATGCGGCTTTCACAAGCTAACAGATGGAGCTGATAAGCTGCCTATCGTTAGGAATCTGAACAGAAGACTATGCAACATGAATCATGTCCTAGTTCTAACGAAATGCGACGACTTCTTGTGTAGTATGTAAACTCATGTCAATTAAAACGGGGGTCAACGACACCGTTAGACGCATCCGTCAATAGGCACAAGTTGTAACTCTGAGACACGAGTTGGACTCCAATCATACAGGAAGACGCACGGATACAAAACCACGTGACTGGACTGGTCCTTCCACCTAAGTTGGCCAAACAAAGCGCATTGAGATTCGGCAGCAAACGCCCTCCGCATCCGTCAGCAAGAACGCCTGTAGACAAGGCAACAACTTTCCACGGCGAGTTCCATCAGCGACACCTGTCTTGCCGTGCTGTTTGCAGACCAGTAGGTGGACAGCTTGTGCGCCTGGAACATCGCAGATCCGAAGTATTCGTCATCCCTTCTTCCGCCGTGACGGGTCACAAGAACAGGCCCGTGAAATCGAAAGGCCGAGCAACGAGTAGACAACAAGCACTGTCGGCATTGTCAGAATCTTTACTGCTGCCAATATGGCTTCAGCTCAACAGCAGTGGGGAATAACCCCCCCGGTGTCAATGGACTTGCCCACTGAACACGAACTGAAGCTCGACGAACAGATGAGGGAGGAGTTGAAAAGACAGAACAACTTCGAGACAGCAGATGGCCTGGACAAGCGCAAGCGCGTTCTAGCTCATTTCGATGAGATCGCAAAGATGTTTGTCAAGAAGATTGCCAAGGACAAGAACTACCCTCAGTCCGTCCAGGACAACTCCGGCGGACTCGTCACTACGTACGGGAGCTATCGACTCGGCGTTATCAATCCAGGTTCGTGTGTTGCAGCAAGAAATTTGGCCGGCCGCTGACCTTGTCTCCGTAGGCTCTGACATTGATACTCTTCTCGTTGCACCAAAGCACGTTGACCGCGAGGACTTCCTGGCTCAGTTTCCCACCATCTTGAAGAACAATTCGCCAAAAGGGATGGTGCAAGAATGTGTCGTAGTTAGCGAAGCATTTGTGCCCATCATAAAGATTGTATACGACGGCATCGACGTGGATCTCATCTTTGTAGCTTTAAAGCAATCCTCGGTGCCTGACGGCATCGATCTCAAGGACAACAATTTGCTTCGCGGCCTCGACGACACTGATCTGCGCAGCATTAACGGAGTGCGGGTCACAGATGAGATCCTCTCCGTTATACCGCAGCAGAAAGCTTTCAAGACGGCGTTGAGGGCCATCAAGCTGTGGGCACAGCGGCACGCTGTGTACTCAAACATAAGCGGCTTCCCTGGCGGCGTTGCTTGGGCCATGATGGTAGCACGCGTCTGTCAGCTGTATCCTATGGCATGTGGCTCTGTCATAGTTGGTAAAGTGCTCGATCTGATTGCTCGGTGGAATTGGCCGCGACCAATCCAGCTGAAGCAGTATGCAAAGGGCCCTCTTGAGGTCAGAGAATGGAACCCAGCCGTATGTTCGTCTCTTGTGGTATCTTGATTTGGCGCTAATGATGACGAAGCTATATCCCGGCGATCGTCGCCACATCATGCCCGTTATTACGCCTGCATACCCCTCCATGTGCGCGACGAACAACATCACGCCCTCCACCAAAGAAGTCATCATACGGGAACTGAAAGCTGGAGGCGCTATATACAATGACATATACCATGGAAAGAAGACCTGGAAGGCTCTATTTGAAAAGCATACCTTCTTCACGTCAAGCTACAAGTACTATCTGAGCGTCATTGCTATGAGCCGTTGTGAGCCGGCACATCAAGTCTGGTCTGGCCTTGTTCACTCGAAAGTGCGGCGCTTAGTTATGGCAATCGAGAACGCAGACAGCGGTGTGAATATCGCGCATCCATTTCCCGACGGCTTCGATCGCGTGCACAAGTGCAGGACTGAAGAGGAGGTTGATTCGATTCTCCATGGAGACATGAGGTTTCTTACGAAGCTTACAGATGAGGAGATTAAGGCAAGAAATGCCGCAGCGGAGGCGCTTAGCAAGAACAACAAGGATCCGAAAACCGTTCCAGAGGTGCAAGGTGACATTAGGACCATATATACGACCACGTTTTATATTGGTCTAGAGCTCTCAAATACAGGTAACAAAAAACTAGACATCTCCTGGCCGGTCGCCGAGTTCAAAACAATCTGTCTTGACTGGGAGGAGTTGGTGAAAGAAACCATGTCCGTCTGCACAGTACATACACGCAAGTACGTACACCGACTCGTTTTTTTTTTTGTGAATCTGCATCAACTGACGACGCTCTCGAAGCTACGATCTACCGGCCGACGTTTTCAGCGAAGGAGAAAAAAGGCCAGAGAAGCCCAAAAAGAAGAAGGGGACGAAAGGTGCCGCGACTAACGGTTCGAAGACACCGACACCGAATGATGGTACTGCCATCTTCCTGTTTCCTCACGACATCAGATATGCTGACCATATGTTAGTCACGAAGAAGCGAGCGCTCGATGCGGAGGTGCGTTCACGAACAACAGCAGCAGCACTCGATATGCGATGTCATTACAAGGACCTTCCGCCTACAAACGAATGGCTACCAAGTACGGCGGTGCTATCTACAGGAAGGGCACAGTAGACTCGCGAAGCTTGCTGATAAATTTTCGTCGTTCTTGCTAACAGAATCTATAGGGATCAGAAATGAGCGGCGCAAAACGAGTCAGCTCAGTCGCACCTACAGTAGCTGGATGAGCGTGAATCTACCTAAAGGTCTTGTTAATCGAGCTTTCCTTGACGTGCTATACATGCCTCCTCTCCCCTCACCTTCGTATTTGCCCACCCTGCTTGGAGCTGAAGTTCTTACCTCTGTGCAGGTAGCTTACAGATGTCAACGACTCGAACATAGAGGGAGGCAGACAAGACCATGAACATCACCAAAGAAGAAGAAGAAGAAGAAGAAGAACAAGATCGGATTCTTCGAACCGGCTTTACGCCTATAACGTGGTTTATTTCGAAAACTGACGTGGCTGAGGCTTGACGTATTCAATTCGCTCAAGTCTGTAGTCTGGTCTGGGCGTCGCAAGTCATGATGCTGTACATTCCCTACAGGAACGATAGCTCCGCTGTGGCTGAACAAATGACGAAAAGACGACAACGGTTCTGACGGTAACGACAATGCAGCAGTAAAACCACCATCTGCCTACAGTCGACGACTTGGGAGTTGCAGAGTATGCAACCCTCTCCCCCGTCTTTCACCTGTCCTTCGTACGCTGCGTGCTTGACGTGGTGGAGGCGGAGAGCACAATTTCAAGGTCCGAAATGACTGTCCTGCGAGAACACAGGCGGGACACTGTAGAATAGCTAAATGAGCCGTCGAAGCCCACTCAAATAGAAACAAAATAGATGATTGTCAGGATCTACAGATCCCAGAAATCATACGAGTTCCAGCCCCCAAAACCACTTTCAAAAATAGAACTTCACTAGTGCCCCAGATTAAAATGAAAGCGAATCCACAGGAATACACATGCACTGTCTCCTTCGCAAAGGACAGCCCACTATGAAGAAGAGACGTCGCCGCCGCTGCGGGGCATAATGATCATACTACAAGGGTCGAGAAAGCTACCTCAAAATCTTGGCAGGAGCTGTCTGCCCGAGCCGCGATGAGACGACGTGATGCTCGAATCCGCACGATCGCATACGCGCTATAAAAAATGAATCCAAAGCCACGGGCCGAGAATAGTACGTCATGCAGATGATCGCGCATCGTCGCGTCGCCGAATGTGGAGGCCAATCGAGAGGGGAGACACCACCGTAATTTCAGGGCTGCCATCGTCAGAACGCAGGTCAACCGCGCCTTCACGTTGAGACCGCAATGGTTGCGGTCAGCTCAACAAGCAGAGGAAAGCAAACTGCTGCTGGCGAGGATCAGGCCTTCCAAGGGGAATGATGAGTAAGCTTGGACTCGATCAGACTCAGCTCTTTTGCGGAGGGAAATTTTATGCGAAGCAGCTCGTCACGCAAAGCTGATGGCGTCGCAAAAGTCGCTTAACATGACCGCAAAAGCTTGGTACCGTCCACCTTGCCTCACTTCCCGCAACGTCGTTAAAGGGTCAAGCGATAAGCGGTCACCAGATCGTGCGGGAAAGTCTTTTGTCGAGGGTAAAGGTCCATCAGAGAAAAAAAAAATTACTGAGCCGTTGCTCCTGAAGCACCCCAATCCGCTGCATGCTTGCTGCAGACGAGCAGGCCTGCGCTGGTCTCGGCCCAGAAAAGGCTGAAAGCCTGCAGACCGACTTGGTTCGGCTCATGCCGACCTGTCGATAATCAGTTCGGCCTCCCGATCGCTGGCGCAAGCACAGCAAATTTCGGCAAGCCAGTTCAAATCCAGGCCGAGCAAGCAAAGAGACTGGCGGCCCACCGATGGCAAGTGACGGACATGGGAGGGGAGGGGAGGAGGGGGGGGGGGGGGGAGGGAAAGGGGGCCATGGGGCGAGGGCGCATGGCGGCGTGGTGCGTCTCTGGAAGCATGAAGCGAACACCACTGAGGACCGAGGGACGTGGGACGGTGGGAATTGCGAACTATGGGGGGGAGAGGAGACGTGTGTGTGTGCGTGTATGAGTATGTGTGTGCGCGTGTGTGTGTGTGTGCAAATCCAGGTAGCCCTTGCTACTGCAAAGGAAAAAGGCGGGGGTTAAGAGGACATGCCACCGCATTGTGCATCTGCTGGGCTGAATCCCACTACCGGTTCTGCTAAATACAGGTCAAAGAAAAAAAAAAGTCTGCCTCGGCAGTACTAGGGAGCGTGACGCATGGTCGCTTCGTTTCGTTACCTTCGCGCTAAAGCTCTGCTGCTTTGAATGGTCTACGTATTCCTTCTGGCTGTTGGCTGGCGTGCTGAGACCCTGGCCGGCGGGCGCATTAGATCTTCAGGGCTGTTTAGGAATAAGGAATCATCCGTGGTCTGGCCAAACCACAGTTTTGACTCGGCGCGCATTTTTTTGGTAGCAACACTCTTTACCTGAAGAGCATTCGGCTAATCTAACTCGTTGCAACGTAGTAGCGGTCTTTGAAATGGTAGTACTAGCAGCTGTACTAGTCATGACGATACCAATGCTGGCAGCAGTTGTACCAGAAGCACCAGCAGCAGTTTTGGGTCTTCGTTGCCTGAGCATCAAGCAAAGGGTATCTTAGGCTGCACGCCAGAGAAATCACCGTATAGAGGACCAATCGGCTGTGCTTACTACTGGCGTCGACGAAGCTGAGAGAAATGCCATATCAAGAAGCGTCTCTCTCGAAAAGATGCCCAACGACCACGACGCTGCAACTCAGCAAAAGCGACGAGAAGATCGTTCTCCAAAACGCCACCGCCCGTTCTCGAGATGGAGAACCTGTCTCATCACTGTCTTGACAACGATAATGATGATGTTAATAATGATAATAATAACGTCCTTGCGCACGCTCAGGTCAAATATGTCCACCCCCCTGGGGCCCATGCTTGATGACACCACATTGCCCCGCTACTGCATGAGGCGGCCGCACAAAAATAGGTCTGCAGCGGAGGTTCGACAAACGAAGAACACCGAGGAGACACAGAAATCCCATTGTTGCAGAGCGCAACACACGGGTTCGAAGAGTAACGTAAGTAGCGTCCCGTCCGGGGACTCGGTTGCATTGCAGCACATGCAGGTGAAAATCAAAGAGAGAGACGGAAACTAATTGCGTCGACATGGCGCTGCCGGCTCTTGCATGCTCCACAGCCATGTGTGTATACATCCTTTTTCCATTTCCAAAGCACGAAATGCAGCAAACTGTGGCTTTCGCTGCTTAGTCAAGACACCAATGGTCTCCATGGACGCGCGAACAGAGCGGCCGGAGGGACGTGACGAGGTTTGAAGAAAAGCAAAAGTCATGCGCTCTCGCCGACCTGCCAGAAGGGTTAAACGCAGAGGCGCCATGTTTCGCGCTAGACGTCACCGAAGCCCCGATTTTCGCGAAATCAGCCTTACCGTGACGGGATTTTCTCCAGAACCAGGCGCAGAAAACCCTCCAGCAAGGGTGACCGCGGGATGCTAGAGTGCGAGTCCTGTCTTAATCAAGCGGGGACCCACGAGCTCGGATTCACGTCTGGAAGCTAGGACGGTCGGCCTTCCGGATCAAACACTGTAGTGCGGCGCCATTATTGAGGCTCATACAACCGTCAAGCAGCACAATGCCGCCGTGCATGACACTACTACCGTCGCTGCTGCTGCTGCTGCTGCTTGGCCTTCGTCCCGGACAAACGTGAGGAAAAGAAACAAAACCCCGGCGTCCGCAGTGCCGTTTGTCAAATGACTCTTTGCAGGAAGCAGGAGAGCAGAGACCAACGCTGGCAGCGGCAAGCCCAGGACAGGCACAAGTCCACAAAAGAATTGTGGCGGACCAGGGAGCCGGGCAGCGAACATGAACTCGGGTTGCTATCGTACCAACAGGCAGATTTTGTCAGGATGGGATGGGCTGCTGCTGCTGCTGCTACTGCTACTGATGCTTGCTACTGGCGGATGCAATCAATCAAACGTGTAGGTTGCAGAGGTGAGCGGATGACGATGGGGCATCTTTAAACAAAACCCGGATCTGTATACACGTGCATCGCGCGGTGGAAGCGGTCGACGCCGATGTCACGGATGAGCAGCTCTGTCGTTGTCGTACTTCGTGCTGTGGTGCAAAGATGAGCGACAAGGCAGAGAGCATGTCAAACGTACTCACTTACCTACTACCGTCCACAGCTTGTTCATTTTTCTTTCTCGGGGCCAGAGCGATGTGAAAGCGCGCTCAAGGGCGGGATCGGATTGGTCGAGCTTGAACGCTGACTGTGGCTGGGGGGAGTTTGACTAAGAATAGCATTGGCCAAGCCCCCACCATTCTTGTCACTCGATCCAGGCACGTCTTCCAACCACTCCGTTTCTCGCTTCTCCTCGCTGCTCGGGACACACGATCGTGGTGAACGATCCATGACCATGGCCAGCATCGTGTGCCGTCTCCGTGGTGTGAAGAAACGTGTCCGCGTGCCTCAACAGGCCCGGTGGAGGACACGCTCTCCTGCCATCTGGCTCACGTCGCTTCTCCCATGTCCATTGCCGTTCCCCCCTCGGTGCGCCAACTCCTGTAGTATTCCTACCCCGATCGTGGGTTAGAGTCCAGCCAGATGATGACAGCAGCACCTTAGCTGATCTACTCGGGGACCGAGTCTACCAAAGTGATGCGCAGCGCAGCGCAGCAAGCCTCATCAAATCTCTTGCCAACGACCAGTTCAATCCCACCACCACCACCATCGCCCCCGCTTTCTTCGGGTGGCAGAGTGGGCTTCGCACCCTTTCGTTAAAATTCATCATTCTAATAACTATGTGTCGAACTTCGACAGCACTCTTGGCGCCCCAGGGATCTGAGCGTCCTGCACATGCGCCTCTGCAGTGGAGTGGTGCACACAAACTTGCAACGGCCTGCAACCCTATCAGGCAGTTGTTACCTCGAGGATGTCGCACGCGATTGGCCATACTGCCTGGCTGACGAGAAATGAACCGCTGGGCTGGACCGTCAGATGCTGCCAAAGAGATCTAATCAGCGGAGAGTCGGTCATGTCACCGCGGCTTCGTCGGGAGCGGACGGACCATGCGCTGAGGGAGAAAAAGCAGCTTGCTCTGTGGCTATGTCTACACCGTTTTACCATCGTCCTTTTCCGAACGGCGTAAAAAAACTCTCTAACGTCCCTTCTACCCCGACCAGGACCCATTCGTCCTAGCGGCATGCTATTTCAGGCCGGTTCGTTTTCTGATCCATTGTTAGGGCCACTCAAGCCCAAAGAATGACTTCACAGCGAGCAAGCCTCACAGCCTCGTTCCAGCGGAAGTACGCTCCCTGTAACGTCGTCTCGTCGTTTCGCTTTCTCCAGAAACGAACGAAACGTCTCCCTTCCGACACGCAACTTTGTTCTGCTCGGACTGCTTCTACCAGACGGATTACATAGGACCTGTTGGAGCAAGCACTGATTTCGGACTATCCTGCGCCGTACTAGATCGTCGCTCGTCTTTGTAATGCGCACGACTCTTGTCAACGAAGCTGTTGCCTGCTGCAAAATCATCCGTATCCACGACCTACAGGCGCATCGACCCCTCTGCAGATTCAGCCAGGAGCAGTGCAAAGGCCAGCGCGCCCACCGATAAACCGCTAGCCATTCCTAGACTTGCCCATAGCATGTCATAAACACCATTGACCTTTAGACTCTGCCTCTTTCCTCAATCTTTGCTTCTTTGCACACACGCACACACACTCTCTCTCCATCTCTCTCCCTCTCCCTCGCTCTCTCTCTCTCTCTCTTCTCTCTCTCTTTCTATTTCTCACATCAGCAATGGCTGGGCCAGGAGGAGGACCGTCCCGACGAAGGTACGCACAAAGCTCTCGTCCTTATTCACCTGAGCATGAATTTACTCTATTTAGTCATACGAAGTCGAGAAAGGGCTGTAAGACATGTAAGCGAAGGCATATTCGATGCGACGAGACATTTCCACAATGGTAGGGTCTTCACATTTTAAATCTTCGTTTTTTTTCCTTTAACCCTTAAAAGAGAAATACGATAAGCCCCCGAATGAGATGAGCATTGGTATCTGATTTGAAAAACAGTCGCAATTGCACAAAGCATCAGGTCCGCTGTGACTACATGGACAGTCCAGCCCCTGGAGACGCTGGCATGAGTTTGTCCGGTCAAGCGAACGTACTTTGGACACCAGATGTCTCCAGAGCGGTCGATCAGTGGCAGTCCACTGGACAATTTCCTTTTCCGGATCTTCAGATCTACCCTCAACCGCAGTGGCAGTCTCTGGCGAGAGACGACCTACGTCTGATCTACCACCTTTTATCAGTGTGCTCGGAGATGGTGCAGAGCAGAACCTCGAAACTCACTATTTGGACTGAGCTTTTGCCAAGGTAAGCACTTTACGGCTTTGCTCGTAACCAACATCTCTTGCTCACCCGCAAACCAGGTTCATGGGAGTCGCCGCTTCGTACCCGTTTGTGATGCACGCTATTCTCGCATTTTCTGCAAACCACCTCGCTTGGATCTCCCAGTCTGCGGAAACCCGAACGATCGCCTCGGCGCACGGTGCAACAGCCATGAAGGGACTGCACGAGGCTACTTTGTCCTTCTCCAAGAGCAATGCAGACGCTGTTCTTGCATCTTCCTTGCTGCTGAGTTGGCAGTCCACGGATTGGCGGGGCTGGGCCTCGCTTATGCTCAACATCAGAAATCTGCTGAATGAGACACAGAGCTGGCCGGAACAGTCGTCAATAGCGGAACTCATTGAGCAGCAAGGCCTAGCTGGACCGTCGACTTTTGCGAATGAAGCAACCATATTCAGCCCAGAGGGAAGACAGGAACACTTGAACACGCTGCACAAGATCACAGCTGCACTTGTGAAGCTTCAACCGTATCTGGCGACATGTGAGCAGGAGTCGAGATGGATAGATCAACTGGCTGGCTACATCGAACGACTACGTACCTCCAACCCGCCGGTGAATTCAGAAGAACAATTTGCTCAGCTGTACGCCTTACGAAAGTGGCTATTCTGGATGCCAGTGACCTTACTCTCCTCGAAAAAGGGAGACATTTTCACGCTTCTCGTGCTTTCACACTTCTATGCTACCGCCCTAGCCATTGAGCCAATGTTCCCAAACATAGGGGGCCCGTTTCTGGCCAACTTAGCTCTCCCTTCTCTCGAAGAGCTTATCAGAATCATGAATACCGTGCAAACATCAAATAACTTCACATCCATGACACAAGCAGCGGCCATGATGATGGAGTTCCCGAGAGATGTCCTGTCCAATTATCGGGCCCATCGAGATTGGTCCCATGCTCAATCCCCTGGCAGCATGCAACCTCATCCTTACACGATCGATGCACTAAACCTCGATTTGGGTCAACACCTCGCCGAGTTTGGTTACAATCAAAGCCTGAGTCCTGCATTTGCACCTTCGCCACTCCATATGAGTCCACCAAACGTCCTTCCTGGACAAGGATCACGCTCACCGTACCTCGAAGTGCCGCGCACAGGATCGGTGGATATGTTGTATAGTGGTACAGGGAGTAACTATTCGTCACCAATGACTTCTCCAGCGATCTTCAAGCAGGAGGAAGAGAATGTATTCAACTTTGGTATGCCGTTTGGGGGATATAGCAATGGCGGGTTCGTGTTGGCTCCCACCGCGACCATTTTCTAGCAGCTAAGACGAGGGTTTCCAGAGCGGTGCCAACCTTAGTATCAAATGACGATTCGGTGGGCAAAGGCAAAGCTGCCCGTAGCCCAAATCACTCGAACACATACCCCCCCTGAGAAATCAAAACACAAGCTTACGATGGGCTTCACGACAATTTTCGAGCTTCTCACGGGGTCCAAAAAAAAGCCTTGACACTGTCGCCGTCAAACACAACCACTCCGAACTGTATCAGAGAGCGTATATTCACTCAATCTTTATGACGTTACGATCATGACCACAGCTGGACATAACACGCAGTAACCACCCTCGTTTCCTTTTGCAGGATACCCAAAACGTTCCATGTACGATATTCTACTGGCGGATGCAGGAAGTGAGAGTTTTTTTTTCAATTCGCGTTTACGGTTGCATTTCTCTCGTTGCGTTGCTGGGCGGCTGCTCTCAGGGGGCATGCCCAAAAGGAGGTGATGATAGTGTGCATCCGTTTCCAGGTGGATTGGTTTCGCACATGGGGATGAAATTCAACTTAAAAGCGCCCTTCCAACATGTTTTGGCTGCTCGTAGTGTGTTTTTGGCCTGATTAGACCCTTTTCCATCCTCCTCTTCTCCTTTACGGTCAGCTTTACTAGTCTATATTAATAACGAACTCGTTTCTTTTAGAAACAAAATTTAATGGCAAATGCTCGTCGCGCTGTGCCTGCTGTCTGGTGCGAAACGAGTATCAAATGCGTTACTGGGAAACCTTATGTACAAATGAAGATCTTCACTTTGGCACAGATAATCAAGAATAAAAAAAATGTGCGGCACAGATGAGAGTAAGTTTGATAAGCATATTGAATATCCCGGAATAGATCATATCCGCGAGGCCTCGTGCGTTGTGGCATGCCCGGTGATTTCTTTCCTTCACGTACTTGACTCAAGATGTTTCCTTGCTAGCCACTCACGTGATAAAGACCCACTTCCCTACGTCAAGGAGCACCTGGAGCCGACCGAGCTGCGGCAAACACCGTGATAGAAAAGTTTCAACACAACTATACCACGGCGCATGTAAGGATTGGTTTTTCAAGTGGAAGATGTCCGGCGGCTGGAATACGATCGAGTCCGACGCGGTTTGTGCGCCACCGCGTCCAAGATGGCAAGTCGCTGCAGAAGCTAATGATTTTTGCTCTTCCAGGGCGTGTTTACGTATTTGCTCGAAGGCCTTGGAGCCCAATCGGTACAGTTTGAGGAGCTCTTCGCTCTAGATGCGGACTATCTCAAACAGCTCAGGTATCTATGCTTCTCATCCCTCACAACCGTTGCGTCCTGTATGAGTAGTGACCAGGCTGAAGTCCAGTGTATGGTGTCATCTTTCTGTTCAAGTGGTTGTCCGATGGCAAAAACGGCAACGAGCCCTCAGACGGAACCTTCGACGACGACGCAGCAGAGAACATTTTCTTCGCCGCGCAGACGATACAAAACGCATGCGGGACGCAGGCACTGCTGTCGGTGCTGTTAAATCAGGATGACAAGGTCGACATAGGACCTCATCTGCGGAAGTTCAAAGATTTCACGTCCGGTTTCCCAGCAGAAGTATGCCTAAGAACCCCCCCCCCCCGAGGAGCCTGTTGCGCAAATGCAGACATTGACGTGCGACAAAGATTCGTGGAGAGGCGCTCTCCAATTCAGAGCTCATTCGCGAGGTACACAACTCCTTTGCCCGCGCGTCGCCCTTTGTGGACGAAACCCAACGCCTCGCGACCGATGACGACGACGTCTACCATTTCATCGCTTACACGCCCATCAACGGCATCCTCTACGAGCTCGACGGCTTGAATCGAGCCCCAATATCACACGGCCCATGTTCGTTTGAAGACTTTCCTACGAAGGTAGTTCCGGTCATACAGCGACGAATAACACGCTATCCATCTACCGAAATCAGGTTCAATTTGTTGGCGATGAGGAAAGACCCGAGAATAGCGGCGAGGAACATTGGAGACATTGACACACTGAGGAACGAAGAGCGGAAACGGAGCGAGTGGCAGTGGGAGAATGCGCTCAGGCGCCACAACTTTGTAGGCTTCATCGGCGAGCTTGCCAAGGGCGTCGTACGGAACAAACTTCAGGAAGGCGATCAGGCGTACGATGCCTGGGTGGAGGCAGCCAAGGCAAAGACAAAGACTCGGATGATGGAGAGACGGTAGATAATGGACGCTGCCTGACGGCAACACGCATGATTAAGGGTGCTGCAAAAAAGAATTGACGTCCTTCTCGTACGGTAGGTCATTTTCATCATGAAGAGGCAACGACGGCCGCCACTGCTCAGAGTAGAAGATCTCGTAACTCGACTTACCCGGCCCGTCACTCTGGACAGCGTCACACGCAAACGGCAGCTTAGTCAAGTCCAATCAACAAGAGGAAGACAAAATCTGTCATGTCCAAAAACGACCACGCAAGTCGGTGGCACAAATGGCTGAAGGCCGACCGTAGCTAACCGCTTGACAGAAGGTGCTACAAAATGGCTTTCTCCACAGCAGCTATGGGCACGGGCCGGAAGCATCCATGCGACTGGAGTACGTTTGGAAAGGGTAACGCTGCTCCCCGCTCGCTTCTTGTGACATACAAGGACAACCCCCCAAGAAAAATCAGACTTCCCCTATCAATTTTGGTTAGTGCAGCAGGCTCCCTTAAACACCGAGATGAACAACAAATTTTCCAGTAGATGACTGTTCATTAGTCATTGCAATCTTATTGTAGTTGTAGAAAAGTTGAATTAGCACGGTGGGTACCTGTCACGTGCAGCAGGCTTGGAACTAAATAGAAGGCGAGATTCTCAAATGAATGAAAAAGTAAAGCAGAAAAACCCGCAACGCCCAACATCATCAAAGAAGGCGATTTTTTTTTTGTTTTTGAAAACAAAAAGTTTCTGAAAAAAAAACCTAACGCAAAGCCTACGGCAAAGTAAAGGTGGAGCGAAGAAGAGAAGGTCTCAAGTGCCGTGGAGAATCAAAAAAAAGATCAACTACAAACAAAGACGTCGCACTTGCTTTCGGTGTGCCATTTCCTTACGCATCGCTTCAGGCTTGCCGGCCCACTCTTGCAACACAGGATCCGATAAACACGCTTTCCGCGCAACAGCATGCCAGCGAACGCGTGGTCATCTGCTCTCGCTCCCCAAGATGTACTTGCAGAATGCTGTTCACCAGGACTTTGGCCTTGCCAAATGGGGAAACTCTCTAGGGCTGGCCCATGCAAGCTGACGTGCTCGAAAACCCAGAACGTTAGCTGTCGTTTGATCCTAAGGGTTCTTCTTCGATCGAGACAAATCAGCCTATTTGCTCTCCAGGACTGTAGAGAGGAGTCATAGTTTGCGCGAATTTATAAGCCACAGACAGTTTGTTATTATCGATTCCGAGTAGCATGGGTCGAACAAGAAAAGTAAGATGGAGTCTGCCGCTCGCCTCCCAGCCCAAACGTGGCTGCACGGGCAACCGCCAAGTCAATCATCCTGAGAGGCGAACTCTTGAAGATTGTGAGATTATTATTAGGGACTCGGCAGCCACTTTTCGAACTCGAAGCACACGACGATGGCCGCTTGTCTCCTTAGTCACAGGCCAGAACTGGAAAGGGGTACATTTCACGAGCCCAAGCAGTTTCGAGGAGTGAAGGAGTCGATCTCTTCGGGCGGGCTAACCGAATGTCTGCTGACCGGTGTCTGCCTGCAGGGCGCGTGCGCGGTGTGTCAGAATGGCGCGTTCGATGCAGTTCAAAAGCAGACGAAAGATGGGCCGATGGTGGGAACACCGCACAACGGGAGCACATTAGAGGCTTTTGGCAGCGAAGAGACGCACTAGTGTAACATATTGTTTTTTTTTGTTTTTTTAAAGGAGGGTAGGGGCAAGCCGTGAAAGGAGGGTTCGCAAGGGATGTCGGCAGGGACTCCCTGGCTGGCGTGAGGCTGGGCGGTTGCTGGGCTGCTCTCAGCCCTATAAGGTACCCACATCAAGTCCATCCTGCACCAATGCTGGAGCCAAGGCTGCGAGAAGTTCCCGTACAAAGTAAGTCTTGATTTGGCTGTTGGCGCTGGCGATCCTTCTTTGAGGCTATGCAACCCCGATTTCCAATTCCGAGTCAGTTGAACATCTAGTCAAAAGTAACAACACGATTGGCCAATTGGCCTGTTTTCGTTTCATGATCACGGCTCGACTGCTGGACGAGACGTTTCGCGGGGCAGATGTAAACTGCTTCCAGTCTCTTGCAGCTCCGAGGAATGCGAAAGACCTGCTGCGCCTTCCTCGAGGCATGCGAGTTGTGGCTCTACGGACGCAACCACCGAGGCTTTGACCAACGTTTCAGCTGGGATTGACACCTCGATATCAGTCAGTGCCAATGAGGGACTGCTTCTGACCTCTACAGTTGACAATCCCAGCGTGGTCCACGTCAACGACGCTTTATCTCCTTCGAGACGCTTTCCGGCTGACGGCCACGGTCCTGCGCCCGCAAGGATAGTTCTTCCCAGAGGAGCATACGTCGTATTCACGGGTGAAACTACTGCTGCCTGATCAGAGGTTGCGGATCCTAACCGGAGCGAAAGAAATATGACGAGTACTGAAAGTACGCCCAAAGCTATGTTGCGCCGATCTTGAATTAGCAAGATGACGTAGTTGCGTAAAAGCGTGGACAGTGGTATCTCCTGCGTCTCGGTGTGTGTCGTTGGATGGAGAGGGGCCGGTCTGGTCTCCGTGTCCCGAGTACTTCTTTTTCTGGGGGCTATCAACACCTCTTCAACTGGCGAAGGTAGTGCGATAGCGGCTGGTGTTGACGGGGATTCTGATAACTTGATGGCTTCTAGCTCTTGCTCCAGGTCTTTGGCACGTTGCTTGGCTCTTCGCAGCTCATCTACTGCTTCTGCGCGTAGTCTCTCCATATCCTTTAGGTTAAGCTTTAGCTTCTCCAATTCTTCGTCCGCCTTGCGCTGCTGTTCCTGTGCATGCATCATTTTCAAGTCCAGCATCCTTCTCACATCCTCCGGGATCCACGGTTCGATCTCAACGTCGACACGTTCCATCTCCTTGTACGCAGCGCACCATGCGCCGGCCCTCATTAGCCCGTTACTCGCATATACCTTAACCTCCCAGCGTGCGTTTCCTGCGCCGACACCTTTTCCAGGTATGCGAATGGGTCGTTGACAATCTTGGCAACTGTCCTCGATGTCGGAATGTGCCAAACAGCGAAGCGGTCTGTCATTAATTGCCACGACCTGTTTTCGCTCACTCCCAACGCCTGATACACCACTGTCATTCCCACTGTCTGAGTCCGATTCTACATTTACACCAAAGAAATGACCACAGGAGCCAAATCGCGATGCGCATAGGCCCAAGGTCTCCAAAAGGCTTTCCTCTAACAGGTCGAAGTCTTCGCCAGGGTGAGGTATGAGCAAGCCTCTGCTGAGTACAGTTTCTGTAAGCTGTTCCTGTAACATGTACCAATTCTGTAGAACAAAGCTAGGAGCAACCTCTTGTAAGCTTTCGATTGAATAGGGAAGTCCTCGAGATGGCAGCACTGTCACGTGTAAGAGCACGAGTGGTCCACGTGCTGGGCTAGGCTGATGTTGCGTTAGTGGTGTCGCTCGACCACTATTGCGACCTTGCAGACTGATTGAATGCTCATCGTAATCTTGTGAGACATGCGTGTTATGCAAAACGCTGCCGCTTCGGACACTAGATGGGGTACCTCGATGTTGTCTTCTTCCCACGAGAGGACTGGTCATCTTTCCATGCTGCGAGACTTGAAAAGGTTGGGGGCTAGACATTTGCATCGCCCTTACACTCGAGGGAGACCTGAAAACCGGTCTTGTGCCTTTATGAGGCGCGTATGGAGAGATGTCGGACTTATATGGTAAGCTTGGAGGTATCGAAGAAATGCTTGTGAAGGCAGCTGAAGATTTTCGCGTGCCTGATTGCGGTTCTATGCTGGGCAGTATGGAATCCCCCTCGTCACTGGATAGCCCGTTGTCCGCGTCGTACGGCGAAGGGGAAGTGCTCATCCTGTTGTCGTGATCGTTCGTAAAGGGCGTGCTGGAAATTAAGTCGTCGTAAATGGTAAACGGCTGATGTCGCATCCAACGCGAAGTCATTATTGACGTGAATTTATCTTTTCTGGCAATTAGCTACGGTACAATGGTTGAGGGACACGTCAGTGCCTGGCTCATTTGTTCGTGTTCTCATGCGACGTCCCAACTGGCAATGTTTGTTAGCTCATCCGTTGGCACGACAACGGCTAGAGCACGTGATCAACGAGCTGGACTTGCACTCTCATGTATACTCAATAGCCGTGTAGAGCTATTACATCATGACTTACCAAGCTTATTGCCTTTCATATGTAGTTGTATATCAAGCACTAATATTTAGCTGAATGCATAGGTCATTCGTCAATAGAAAGTTCCACGAAAATCGAGCTCATTGGTTGATAGTGAATGGATCTAGAACGCTTTGAGCTTCAAGAATTGAGTGTTATATCTAGCTTTATCCATCTTCATAGGGTGTACTTTGATAAGGTCATTGAAAAGTCTTTATATTTTACGTTGAGTAGTTATGTTATTCAGTAGTTGAACTTTTGTATCCGAAAGACTTCGCTCCAGGATGAGGCTGCAGATGAATCACCCAACATTGTTTTCATACCTGCTACCATGAGCGTATAGTCTTTCACCTGTTCTAATTAAATTTTTCTCTTGCATTCCCGAAGTAAATAGCCTGTATGAAGCAATTGCTCTGACTTCCACTGTTTAGCAATTGAAAACTTATCTCGCGATTGTAGTCACTGCTGGATAAGTTCACATTCGAAACCCTACTTTTCTCGGCAACAAAGCTTTGGAAAGGTGTATCGTTCAATTTGAAATCTTTTGTGGCATTGTGCCAAAAAGATAGGATAAACTCATCATGTATACCTGGATGTGTAGCAATAACTGACCCTAGGGCCTTTTTCACAAAGTAGGTTTTCGCGTATTTTAAGGTCACTGGTCTAGAAAGATATATCGTACACCCTGACAAGGTGTGCTATAGCGTCCAGAACAGCTCGTTTGGTTAAAGCACTTTGAAAATGCTTTCTTCAATGGAAGTTTTCAAGCTCTGTCATTTCAGATATTGACTGCTCTGATGCTGACACCGTTCTGTCCCTCCTCTCCACGCCAAAAGTTATGGCCGAAGACTCCTGCAGAGCGTGAATGCAGCGTCCGCGCAAGACCAAAAGTCCAGACCTAGTGTTACAGAAGAGTTGAGAAATCTTACATGGTATTCTAGGCCTTGTACAGTCTGAGCAGTGATTGACCTTTTGAACTATATCGTTTCTTTGCAAGCATCAGCGTTTAAGACCTGAGGAGTTACAACCCTGATGCGATGTATAAGTAAAATTCTATCTTCCTATCCCGTTGATGTAACATATTTCAGTGGTCAATTCTACAAGATGGTTGACTTCTGATGCTGCTGTTCATTCGATACCAGTGGGTACTGTCTACAGAAAATAGCTAACGCCTGCGATTTTTTCCTTTCGCCGCTCAGTCATCTTCACTCGTACACATCAGATACGAAAAATGAGGGAGCATTCGAATCACTGCGCTATTTTCCTACGATCGTCGAAAATCTCATTGACAAAATACTTGATAAGTCCCAAGATATCCTTTGGGAAATTATGTTGTCGATTGACATCTCTAGCAAGGCAAAACAGCGACTATTCAAGAATAAGATTCGAACGACTTTGTTCAAACGCAAAGAGATTCCGAAGTCTTTTAAGATTCAGAAGCACGGAACAGAGCATAAGAAATCAAAGCATATCGTGTGTGCAGCTGTCCCATCCTTAGACGATCCGCGTGCTACGGTTTATTAAACTTGAGATAAATCAAGCGCCGCTGAAGTAGATCGAAAATACGAGGAAGACCCCATGCGTCACGAGCATACAACTATTAGGTAAGTTCAGCAATGCAGACGCCTTTTAATTATCGGGTTGGAACGTTGTTCGATTCATTGTGTGATTTTGAACAAATCAATTCCGTGATCACCTTTCGTTGCGTGGATCGCCCGTTGCGTGTCGAGGAATAAAGAAATGGAGCGAAATAACCAGGCAGTCCCATATTAGATGATATCGTTAAGCACTACTAAGCACAAGTGTCAGTGTCATTTCTTCGGGAAATACTAGGCTTGTGAATCCAATCCGCCAATAAGTCAATATGGTATACGAAGACACAACGAGTTGATTCAAATAGTAACTCAGATAATTATAGTAATTGAACACTGATCTTGCTTTGTAGTCGCAATACAGCAAGATGTCATTTTGCCATTCTTTGCAGAAGTTTCGGACCGCGGCTGGAATGGTCACATGGTGACGAGTTTAAGTTCTGAGCTATGAAGATACTTCTCAGCAATAGACAAGAGACATAAGTTCGAAGGATAGATATATCTTGCAGCCATATGGACTTTCAGAAAACGCAAATAGACTGTCTACTGTACAAAAGGCCTGATTGATGTGATGCTCTGATCTTCCAACTACATCCCGTGTCGATATAACTGAGTGGCATCCAACAGAAGAGTTCTCGATCAGTCACAATCACCTGCAGTATACATGTCATCAGCTAGCAAAGACAGTATCACCGATTCTAGCGCTCGAAGAAACACTCATTGACCATTTTTGTTCCTAGTTCCAGTTCTTCAACGTTGGCGCACTAATATCCCGTCTTCCACCTACAACGCCTTCTAGCATCTGCTTCTTTGGTGTCGCATGACCTATCGCCACGCTCCTGGCTCTTCCTCTCCGCTCGCGAATCTGTGCTAACGCTGCCTCTCGATCAAGTGTTCCGTCTGGTTTGAATGCTGAAGCAAGGAAGGGCGACGTTGGACCATGTGCAACTGAAGGAGGATGGTCAATGGTCATAGGTGTAGTGGGCTGCTGCAACCTCGGAAATGGTGAGAACATGATAGGTATTGTTGTAGTTGTAGTAACAGTCCTGATTTCGCGAATAGGCGTTTGTGGTGCGTCGTCTGCTTCCGCAACACCACAAACGCCTTGTTCGGACTCTATCACCCTGTTTGTGTCTCCCCTTGTTACCTCAGCCTGAATTTTTTTGCGTGCCTCAGCTTGAGAAGTTTCCTTCTCCTGCTCTGAGGTTTGCAAAGGAACCTTATTTGGCTCAGGTATAGTATCGTTGCATTCATTTGCAACATCAGTACTGTCTGTTGATGCGTCAGCATCAGTCATCAATCCAGTCTCCTGTGAGCCTGGTGTCATCGGCATGTCCTCCCGATCGCTGAGCAGTAGATTGCAATCATTGGGTAGCTGGGTTCTGATCGTGTCCATCTCGCTTGCAAAGCTTATGTCATAAACGTAAGCATGGCCATCCCTCTCGGCAAGCCGACACGAGCAGCACTGGAACTGGCATTCCATCTTCATAAACTCCACCTGCTCCTGTGCCTTCTTGCGAAGCCTCCTCTCCATTGCAAGTTCTCGATGCATACTCTGCAGCTCCACTACTTTCTTCGGCAACCTGTTCTCTTTGTCACAATCGCTCTCCTCACTGGCTAGTCGTACCTTTCGTGGTGACTTGCGGGCTGAATGAGATAAATTAGAATCATCGAAATCCTCGTCCTCGTCCACAGCGGGTAGAGCGATGCGTCCTTCAGCAGCAATGCGCGCAACCTCCTCCTCCTTTAGACTTCGCTTAAGAGCGTCGCGCTCCGCTTCGACAACTTGGACACGCTCTTGCATTTTATCTAGCTCCTCCTGTACACTGATCAATTGATACTGTGCTGTAAATGCATCCTGCTCTCGCCGAGCACTTTTCAGTTTCTCTGATTCCAGGCTAGATTGTGTGGTGCGCAGTGAATTGCGTGTAGCTTTCAACTCTTCCTGAAGCTTCACAAGCGATGACCCTGACCTGAATGCTTCTTTTCGACATTTACGTATCTCCTTCTCGTATATCCCAACGGCATGGCTATGAGCGTCCTTCGACCGCTGGTGTTCTTCCTGTGTGCAAAACTTAGTCTTACAGCCTATGAATTGCACAAAGCGCGCAAACATGACATACCATGACGACTTCGAGTCTCTTTGATACTTTCCGTTCTCGTTCTTTGCCCTCTTCTATCTCCTTCCTCATCTTGCGCATTTCTTCGCGAACTCGTTTGAGCTCATCATCTAAAGCCTTTGCTTCTCGTCGGCTCTTGTCTCGCTCCATCTCAGCCATCTCCCTAGCCATGTCGGCCCGCCGCACGGCAACCTCACTCTGAGCCTTGTAATCTTTGACACTCAGTCCATCGAAGCGTGCAACCAAGCCTTGAACGTGGGCGTCCGACGCGCTATTATTGCGTGTATGTCGAAAGTGCACTTCTGGTGAGCCTGAGAGCAGAGACGGTTTCAGCAACACAGATGATTTGCCGAACTCTGGGCCGTTGGACGACTGTGAAACTGTGCTTGAGTATGGTGGGCGAGTCCCATTGACGCGCTCGGGCGACAGTGGGAACAGTGGTGTGGCAGGCGACGCCCCAAGCCTAGTAGAGGAATCCATTACGATTAAGTGCGTATATTCTCGCGACTTGTTCAATTTATGATCATATGCATTTCAAATTTGTGCTCTTGTATTGCTAGGCAGTTGGATGCAAAGGTCGTGCAAGGATAAACGATTTGAAGAAGTCGCGCACAGTTGTCAACAAAGATCCCGGCTCCGTAGCAACGAGTGTATAACGAACTCAGAGTCCATAATACCTGTGACAGGGCCTTCCTAAATTTCTGCGCGGCCTTGCCGAAAGAAAAACAAGCAGGTTGTTCTAACTTTCTTACCGTCGTGTAATAGCAGCAAGATCGCCGAGTTCGGTCATTACAATGCTCACGATGGGTTCACAACAGGAATAAGTACACGAATGGGTTTCCAAGCTGAACGGTCCTACTTTCCGCCATAGTTAAGATTTGAAATCTTCTCGTAATGTACCACCACGGCAAAAGCGCATCTTTGCCACATCCTGTTGGTCAGGCTATCTATCAATTGTCGGTAGCCCCGCATAGTTTGAGGCTCTGAGAGAGTATTTTGATCCTAACAGTGGCGTAGCGTGCGATCTTTCGTATGAGATTTGCATGCGAAATGGGTTGCTCTTTGTGGAGTAGTCAAATGTATGGTTTTTGAACAAGACCCAACAAGGACGTCCACATGGACATGGCATGAAAGGCAAGCTGCCGTGGGAGGCAGCACAGATAACCCGGCGGTATTGTTGTACGGAGACATGTGGCAAGTTAACTTCAAGTTCCTGACTGACTCTGTACGTTGATTAGTCAACTTGGCTTAAGCGGAATTTTCTCAACGCAAGTGGGCGTAAAGGCGAGCACCTGAGTCTGCCAAGACGCTAAACCCGATAAGCAATGTCCTCCACCCACAAACGAAAAAGCTGACCTCTAGAGCACCCAGTCCTTTCTACGAAGCAAAAAACCACAATCACCACCAGCGCAAGAAATTGCTGACAAAACTCACTTGAGGACTCCAATTCACTTGGACGAATCGTCAAGGCAATCAACGCGCTTCCTATAGTTTTACACTTATTCGTAACAATGTCGGACACCGAACTTGTCGAGAGCGGTGCAGGCTCGCAAATCCTACCGAAGGACGTTGTTGCTGAGATTGGTGAGACCAAGCTCTTCAACAAGTGGTCCTATGATGGCGTTGAGATCCGTGACATCTCGCTGACGGACTACATCCAAATCCGCACACCTGTCTATATCTCCCATTCCGCCGGTCGATATGCAGTCAAGCGTTTCCGCAAGGCGCAGTGCCCAATCGTACGTTAAGCACTGATGAACGAGAATGGAAAGGCCGCGCTGACATTTTATGCAGATTGAGCGTCTTACCAACTCCCTCATGATGAACGGTCGCAATAACGGCAAGAAGCTTATGGCCGTTCGAAGTACGTGTTGACGGGCATTTTCACCCTTGTCACGAGCATACAGTAATTAACAAGAGCCACAGTCGTTGCACACGCCTTCGAGATCATCCACATCATGACAGATCAGAACCCCATCCAGGTCGCTGTTGATGCCATTGTCAACTGCGGTCCGCGAGAAGACAGCACTCGTATTGGTTCCGCAGGTACCGTTCGTCGCCAGGCTGTCGACGTTTCTCCTCTCCGCCGAGTCAATCAAGCCATTGCTCTTCTCACTATTGGTGCTCGTGAAGCTTCTTTCCGTAACGTCAAGAGCATCGCTGAGTGCTTGGCTGAAGAGCTAATCAACGCTGCAAAAGGAAGCAGCAATTCTTACGCGATTAAGAAGAAGGATGAGTTGGAGCGTGTTGCCAAGTCTAACCGATAAGTGGCCTTCGCGCTATATTGCATACTGGGGTTTTGGGGTGGGATATGGTACATGGACAGGCATGGCGTATCTTCTAGGAAGTTGAGGAATTCCTTCGACCAACTCAAGCTTTGCATTAGAATTACCAGGAGCCTAGCTCCGACATGAGCAAAAAAATTGTCGCCGTCATTACAAACATGCACCCGAATATTTTTCATTTCTCCAATCTCATTTGGATAATTGCTGGCTAGGAATGCATTCTTGACATCGGCGCAGGCCGAGAATGGGAAGCACAATATTCATTCCTAGAAGCGTACAGCCTCATAGTCGATGCAAGCCATTGTCGTTGTACAAGAACCAAACCCGTCCGTTAGCTCTTCGTCGGGAGCGATGGCGGTAGAATATACTTGGCGAATGGCTATTCCGAGTTGTGAGCGGAGGCTGTCTCCAGTTAGAACTGTCTGGTCGACACGTAATATGTGCCAACTGATCGATTTTCTCCATTGGTCAGCAAAATATTTCAAGGAAATGTTGCCGTGGCAGTAGGGCAAAAGAGAGAGAGAGAGAGAGGTATTGTAAGGCGAGACTTCTAAAGCCTGTCACTGATGGGAGCTTCGCTGTTATCTATCCATTCAGTCCATATACGGCAAGAAAAGTGGATGGATAAACCAACACATTGGAATCACTCCATCACGAATCACCATCCCAAATACCCAGAGAGTCAACGAACATCTGGCGAAGAGATAGGGGTCAAAAACAAGTGTAACAAATGTGTTAGTACTCCCGACGGGCTTCTAGGGAAAAGACTGTACGTCATCTGCATCATACTTCGTCAATGGCTCATTCGCACGTAGAATTGTCACTCTTGGCCAGCTTGAGAAATGAAAAGTTGCTGCAGCACAGCATTGGAATCATGCACAGTTCTTTCGTGACGAAGTACAGTGAAGCCAGAATCTGCTTAAAAATGCAATTGACCGATTAAAGTGTGCAGGAAGCGTGGAGGCGGGCCTCACAGCTGATCACAGCAGTAGCATGGAGACGTAACTCTCCCGCCTTGGAGGCGTCCGCACTGATAGGTCCATAGTCCCGAGGACATGAATGTTTGATCTGCTTCGGCTCGTAGGCTTATTTTCCAATTTTTAGGCGTTGCCTTTCCCTCGGGAGCCGCAGCTCATGCACGCGTTTGAAGGTAGAGAAAGGCGGCCGACTCTGGGGTTTCGTGATTCTCCCGTCTAGAGCGGCTGTCAATACATGCACGCGTGGCACATCAGCGTCACGTTTCACTGAAGTGTCTTGTGTCTCTGTTATTGAGGGGATCTTGGTCCTTCCAGGATTTCTGTCGTTCTGGCTGTGACGTTGCCATTGCCCGAGCTTTCAGACCACAGCACCAGGACCTTGCCTTAGACACGTTCCTTCCTTACGCTTCGTATTTTCCAGGAGCCTTTAGTCCTGCCTGGACTTCAACGTCAGCTTTTGGACACACCATTCCTCTTTTCTTTTCCCGCTCTTTTACCAAAAAACTACAGCTCTAAAGCACCAGCAACACACGAGCTGATCCCAACTCGTCCACTCTTCGTACAGGCTCCCTCTCCTCAACAGACGAGAAAAGACTCTGTTCGCCATGGTCCATATTCCTGTCCCACATCACGGAATTGATTATGGCAGCCCAAACTTCGATCTGCTTGGCCTCTCTTACGTAGCTTTCGCCTTCGTTTACTCTGCACTTGTCCTGTCCGGACTAGTGGCTCTGTTCAAGCTTCGACATACACATGCCGTGAGAATACGCAGCTTCTGGACTATCTTTGGGTCAGTTATACTGCTTCATGCCTATTTGGTTCTCATTTTGCTAGTTTACCCGCTTAACGGCATCTTCAAATGTGGCTGGGAGTTCTGGACAATGAGCCTTCTTCTTCCCTTGGGCATCGCTCTGTTTCAAGGTGCGTAGTCAAGTCTTGAGAAGATAACGGCCTCTGATTCTCAACCCTCAGCGAGCAATATACGCCTGTACGCGTATTCCATGACCCAGAAGGACATTGTCGCACAAAGCAAATCACTTGTCAATTGCAACTTCGACCCCAATCAAAAAAAACCTAATCAAAATCGAAAATTACGGCATTGGAGTGTCGAGAAGCAGACATATGTGGCCATTGCTTTTGGTGTTATTGCACAGGTATGCGAAATACTAGCGTCAAGGCTGGCTTCGAGAAGGCTCACAATCAGTACATACATAGCTCGTTATTACCACCATCTTATTCTTCGGTTCGAGAAAATTCCATTCCTCATACGGCTTTTTTGCTGCGTCTATGGCACCTGACGAATGTCGTCGGGGTTCAGAATGGTATGTTCTTTGGCACCAAGTTCAACGATATGCTGTTGAATTGTTCAGGATTCCATCCGTTTTCTGGCAATTTCTCTGGGCTACAGTTTTCGGTCCATTCATCTTGCTGCGCATCAGAAAAATCAACGACGCCCATTACTGGGCACTACAAACAAGGCTAGCAGTGATTGCTTGGTTCGAATCTTGATCGGACAGCTAAAGGTGTAATCCTAACGTTGTTTCATAGTCTTCCTGGTACCCCTCTATGGCTCACCTTTGTTTACGCACGAAACCGAAGACTTGATTACATCAATAAATGGTTTCCACCCTCTGGATGGTATTATTGATCTTAGAATTGACAATGATCAGGTCTAATTGGTGGTAGGTTTCTTCCAGGACTCTTCACCATCCAATTCGTCACAATATTTTTCCCCTTGTTTGACCTTTACAAAAGAAAACAACTCAACAAGAGGAGAAACAGTAGAAATGGCAATGAAACAGCGTCTGCAATCGAAGAGAAGACTACTTCGATGATGACATTAGAGATGCGACTCAGGTACGAACCGACCAGCCTGCTTATCTGGGCTTCTGAGAAAGAATTTACTGCAGAGAACATTGCATTCCTCATCTCTGTACTCAAATGGCGCAAAAACTGGAAGACAGAGGCAAGTAAGGGTGTTTTAACAGAACTGCAACTACGGGAGAGATATGAAGAGGCAGCCTTGATCTACTTCAAGCTCATCAATCCACATACGGCGCGGATGAACATCAATATTGACCATAAAACATTCGCAGAACTGCGCGACATCTTCAAGGGTTGCCATTATCAAGCATTTCCAAATAATGATTCTTCTTGTCCTAAGAGCTCCAGCACGGTCAACAAAAACGTCATCGCGCCGTGGGAGAACTCTGATTCCCATGAAAATTCCCTAGAATTAAGTTCTTTTCGCTATTTTAATGTGGGAAACAGATTGATGTCTGACGATATTGACAAACTATATCGTGTTCCCGTAACGGAGATATCGCCGTATGAGGATAAAGCAAATTCGATACCTGCAAATTTCTCCATTGAGATCTTCGACAGGGCGTTCGAGATAGTAAAAAATGACGTATACCTCAACACTTGGGTCAAATTTGAATCAATGTGGATGAAACCTCGCGATCTAAATGGCCAAAAGACCATGAGCATCGCAGCATCCGGGTGTCAAAACACATTTCTTAGCAATGGCAATCGGAACACCAACCACAAGACAATGTACTAATTCAGCAGACAGAGGAGCATTTGCTTGTATCATATGCAATATGTCGTGCATGGAAAGTCAAAAACACCGAAATCTACCAAAACAGAATGCAAAGATTGAGTTGATGGTATGAATTGCTTCATGAAAGACAGTCCAATATCTAATTAATCCTATCGATCTGAGAATCGTTTCATTCACCATTTTGTGGCAATATTTGCTGCTTATAGATACTAAACACGCATCAATCTGATAATTTCGATGAGTTGAAAATTGTTATATGTCATAGAATACAACACCACATATTAAGTGCTACATTTCATGGCTGTTGAATTAATGAATCAATATCTCATAATGATTTCAGTACCAGTGGACATCTGATACTAGTCAGACGCCTTAGAGTAAGAGGTAATTGTGGAGTACTAGAGCAGAAATAAACTAGGTATGATTGCGTGAACATGTGTCCACAGCATATCGTTTATAACATGGGTGATAGCTATGAAGCACTAAGGATAGAGAGATACATGCTGCGCTAATAATACCTATCACACAACCCTGTCAGTCATACACACGGCCATATACTGCCTATTTTGTAGCAATTGGCTAAGTCACAAGATCAGTTCAGGCTTATCGGCATAGCATTTGTGCATTCCCTGTTGAGTTATCATCCATATCCCATGATTGATTAGCTTCTCGCACATCATCATTTTGAATCATAAGTCGATGACAACAGCTCGTTGACCATGCTGTCCAATTCACATACCACAAGTTTTATTCCGGGTTCCCCGCAATTCCAAGACAGCGTAGTAAGAACAATATAATACCGCTATATTTACAGCAAATTTTATTTGGCATTGCTCATTTAATCATATGTCTACGATACTTCTCATTATTTGGAACCCAATCGACGACTTCCTTTACCGCCTGGAATATCATTAATGGAACGTCATCAACATCTGTAGGAACTACAACTCTTCTATCTATCCGGCAGACCCACAATTGGGACCAGAAGATTATGTGGAATTGACTTTCCGTTCAGAATAGTCGAATCACTATTCTAGGAGTTCTAACGATACCAGGGGGCATTCTACGTCATCTTAGAAATTCAAAGCCCCGAACAATTTTTTAGAGCAAAATAGCCAAATCACAGCACAACCGTCAGAGTTCACCAAGCTACATTGACCGAGCTGAGTATGGGATACTTTTCTGTAGGAGATTTTGTCCCATTAGCCGCCCAGCTCCCGCATTACTATGGTACGGTTGATTCTGCAGATCTGCTAGCCACGTTTCGAAAGTCCAGTGAGTCACTCCTTACTAAAATTGCTGGAACTGTCCTAATTAATAGCTCGCACAGTGAGGAACATCTCTGATTGGTGACTGAAAAGCTCTCTGTTGCAAAACCAAATGAGCACACAGACTCAAGGACTGCGCTATCATATATGTGAGAGCCTTACTCTTATGCACTTAATCTCATGAACCTGGCGCATACCATGCAGATTCCTATGACATCACCGTAAATTCCTTCAATGTTATAGCTAATGGCTCATCCGCTTTATTCAATTTGACCTGGGTATAACTGAACTGTACTGGTTGCATCGAGATGCGAACGAAAATCATGTCTAGAAATCGAGAAGAAGTTGTGGCGCTAGCTTCTCCAAATCTTCAACCTAGGTAGATACATTAGCATAATCCCTAAAACAGTCACAAGATTATACCTGAAGAAAGCCATCACTAGCTTCTTTGCCCAATTCTGTGTCGCCATCCTCTCGTTCGTAAATGGCCCTCGCCAAAGCTTCGCGCACAAATGTCTCCACGTATTTGCCTAGAACTTTCATTGCCTCCTTTCCAATTTTCATGTTCTTGTCTTCGAAGTTTTCGTATAGCAGCCGTGTAAGCAACTTGGGCGGTAGTGCAGACGACGTATCGTGATCTCGTGTAGCTGGTTTAGGTTGGTGTTTATGGGCTGACACCGGATCGTCCTCATATTCATCCTCTTGGTTATTCTCTCCATATTCATCATTTCTGGCTTTATGATTTACCCGTCGTTTCTTTGACGGTGGCGTGTCCCGCTCACTTTCGTCGTCGGAGCTCAATTCGACAGCAGTTGTGGAAGTACGACGGAGGCTATTGCTCTCGCTCTTCGCAGCCGATGTTATATCTCGTGCCATTCTATTGACCATGGAATTTTTGCTGGTGCTTCTGCCCGATCTCGGCTTTGTCGATGCAGGTTGGGAGGTGCTACCAATACGACTGGGCGCTTTGAAAGGTATCACACGCTTTTTGGTACCTTCGGATGAGGTGTGCAAGGAACCAATGGATTGTGATAAGTCCGGAAATAGACGCTCAGTGTATTTCATCGTTGATGTTTGCAGAAACGCGAAAATCGTGTCGTGTTGTTATTCGCGCAGTCGCGAGTTATGTTGGTGACCACGTCGCAACGCGAGCAACACGAATGTGGCACGAAGGTGGCGCGCAGCTGTCCTAAAAGCACGTGCCGCTGCTCTTTTCTTGATGCTCAGCAGATTATAAAGTAGCTCGCTGCTCATTTATGAAAACTCATGTCGTCGGCGCAAAAAGGAGGCATTTTATATGTACAAGCGGCATGCAATATCATATTTCTGCATTGCTCTCATTGGGTTACACTCCTAGGCATCTCTACATGCTAACGTCGAGTGAAGTATTGGAAGACATAGATGTTCAACTCCAATGTGCTGTTTTGCTGAGAGTGAACAGCCCAGTCCCGTCTTGTTTGTTCTTGGGGGGGTTGCAGTTTCGTAACTGTTATATATGGATAATTAACTGCAGCCTGCTGCAAGTTGTTTACGTAGAAAGCAACATCCTAGCCCTAGGGACGCTCCTAAATTGAAATCTAAATGATGGCAAATAATAGACATCGATTCGCGACTCGCCGCGGGACTAAACAATCGGATTTTCGATGCATCTTAGTAAGCTTTATAGAAATTTTTCGTTCTGCATAATCTTCTCGACTAGTTATTCTAAGTGTGCTTTGGATGAACATGTACGATTGCGCTAAAGGTTTAACAGTCAAGGGCATCTCTCGCAAATTGTACAGTGAACTGGGTGACAAAGACTGCAAAGTCCATAAATTTGATGTTTAATGGGCAGTTGGCACACTTACTTTCCAAACAGAAAAAGATAAAGTTAAAATACCTATTGCTAACCTACCGCTGAGTGTTTTGTGAACGTTTTGACGCTGACCTCTTTTTGGAGTCTTGGACACTCGATGCCAACGGCACTCCTAAGGATGAGGAAATGGGGGACTCCCACTCAGTCATCAGTACTGCTACTGACAGAATGGAATAGATGTTCATTAAGGTATACAATTTGATATGGTCTGAAGGTAAAGAACGTAAATATTTATCTTGTTAAATAAGTCAATGCAGGATAAATCGAAGCAAAGCAAAGTGAGGCAATGTAAAACTCCCCTCTCTCCTACTGTCTATGTTTGGTGCCTGGTTTCTTCTTTTCCAATCTTTCGTATTCTCGTCCTTCTTATACCTCAAGCCACGCGAAAATAATCTCAACTGTTCCCACTCACATCCCCTTTCCAATACAACCACTTACTCAATTAGAACCACGTACCCCAGTACAGACCAATACCTGAGGAGGGGAAGACCGTTCTACAGCCTTGCAAACATGAAAAGTATACTACTCACGGTTGAACATATCGAATCGTCCCCTCGACATCCTCTGCTCAGTACGAATGTTTCTTCTAAGCCAAAACACGGCATTATGACGATTATTAGGAAATAAAAATGCACAAATTATTTATTTGAATCTTGATGGTACGTTTGGGGCCTTTACGCCTTCAGCTTGCCACAAATAGAGCCTTGTAGGAAGATTTGAATTTACTTGTTTCATACTATAGAATATATTTCACCAGTTGTCTGTCTCTTGTTTTATTTTTCCTTCTCCTTCCATTGAATATTAATTAGGGCTCAGCATGGATGATAATCGGAATATCTTCAAAGGCCTATTTATATATGGCATTCTCCTGGACAACTGATTGTAAGTTAGGCTTTCTTCGATCACAATTTTCTTCCGATAAGTCATCCTCAATTATCCTTGCTGTTTCAGCTAAAACAGACATAGATGGAAGATTCTGAGCTGATTGATTTGATACCAGAATTATCGTAACAAATTAAATAGCTCTCCGCAAGGGCACAATGCCATAATTTCCCATTTGACATAACATACAATGGATCTAAAACTACTGGAAACAATAACAAAGGATCCTAGGAATGAGCGTCATGATGCTCTGGGGTATGGGACCACAACAGGTGATTCTCCGCGTCGCGAATTGTGTCTCGCCTGTCCTGTATGACAGATTGCTTCAACATTCTGGTCCAACAATTACGGCAGCCGTGTCGTGTGCTGAGATCTCGGCGACAATCCCGCCAACGATACAATTCAAAACTCTACCTGTCCAAATATCCGTGACCATATAACTCTTATTTCCATCTAATCCCGGAATTTCATCAAAATCAATGGTCTTATTGGACACAGAATCATCAGTATTTAGAACCAGCACCAATGTTCCAATCTTACTTTTCCCTGCCCAATATTCCGCTGGTCGCTTAGCATCGAATGTCCAATCCGGGTTCGTCCCCCATTTATATGGTTGAGCAGGCTTGCCATACGTGTCGTCTTGATTAAAGGACAGCAGATAAGGATTCTTAAGTACGTCCAGATCATGGTAGCTTAATTTAGACAGGTCAGTTCCGATGAGCAAAGGGGACTTCATTGCCGCCCAGAGCGCGAAGTGTGATCGTGTTTCGGCTTCAACTGTTGGAGAGTAGGGTAAGTTACCAACTTCTAGCATATCTGCATCGGAATGGGCATAAAAATCTACGTGATTCATGTAGAAAGAATTTTCGTTTAAGATCTCAAGGATACGGTCCCAGTTTGGAAAAATATCGCCTGTACTTCGCCAGCTCTGAGCAACGTCTGCTCCCCAAGACTGAACGTTCGCGGTCCCCCATTCGCAGAGACTGTACAAAATAGACCTGTCAGTCCGATTGATGGCTCTTTGCATTCTCCTATATCGTTCAGCTGTTCTGCTTTGGCCAAAATCGTACCCAGGCGGGCACCAATCGCCTCCTGACTGGGGACAAGTTCCATTGGGTCCCGGGGTGAAGCTCTTGTGATTATCAAGATCGACAACGCACCACTCGCATTCGTCCTGCCATTCAAGAGGCACATTGCAATTGTCATATTTAAGATAGTCGATCCCCCATTCAGCCCAAGTTTGCGCGTCAATATCTTCATATCCTAGAGATGCAGGGTATCCGGCACACGTTGCTGTCCCTGCGCTGGAATAGATTCCAATTTTGAGGCCTAGAGAGTGGATCTTCTCAGCGGTGCCATGGATTCCGTCAGGGAACTTGGATAGATCTGGGTTGAGGCGATGGGTTATGGGATCGCGTGATTTCTCCGACCAGCAATCGTCAATGTTAACATACTCGTATCCTACTTTCGTAAGGCCAAGCTCAACCATGAGCTTGGCAGCATTCAGAAAATGGTCTTCATTGATTTGACAGTGGTAGGCGTTCCATGAATTGAATCCCAGCGCTGGTAGCTTACCCACTCCACCAGGACCTGGGATAGTGGAAGTGACAAGGAGTGCTACAAGAAAAGTTAGATTAAGCATCCCGTCGACTTCCAGAATATATTGATGAGACTACGAGACTAAAGACTCAGTCCAAACCAAATGGAGGGCGTAATAAGCATACATTTGAAAAGTATTCGTCAAAGTCTTACCTTGGTCTGGCGGGGAACCCATCGTTCCTTTAAAAGTTCCGTGTTCGACAGGTCGTATCTTTTTGAGAACTTCAACCAACGGTTGCCCATTCAAAGTAATTAGTCGAGCAGTTTTCCCGTGAGCCTGAGCGTTAATGGCCAAGAGGATTGCAAGAGTCGACCACATATTCATGTGGCTCTCAGCACAAACATGCCTCTTTGTCTGTTATTGTGTTTGCGATGCTGCGCGACAACTAGCACGAATACGGAACCAAATAATGCGCAAGCAACAAAGGACCACGATACGGGATACTGTTCTGCCAGTTGGCAGCAAAATTAGGCGTGAGGCAGGTTTATGCGTGGCATGGAGTTCGGCACAGTCGTCTTGAAATGTCTTGCTTTAAAAAGACGATCCTCAAATCATCACGCATCAAGGGACCCCGCACTGCCCTTTCAGGATGGATGTACGCAAAGCCAAATTTAACAACGCACTTCTCACAAATACCACGACTTTCTTTTCATGGAGCCCTTGAATAACACATCTGGCTTGACATATTTTCTGGTAAAGGTCGAGACGATCAACTCGTGGTTGAAGCAAGGTACAAATAGCGCCTCTAAAGACATTGACAGCTCAAGGGATACAACGTCGTCACTTTCCGTTTGACTCATCACCCAGTGCACTCGCAAACAGCTCTTAAGCTTAGATCAAATAAAACCCAGCTCAGAGCAGCCGCTTCGGCTTCCTTCGACGTGTCATAAAACCAGCCTCGTCAATACTAAATATGTCGACCTGAGGAGCGATTCCCCAAGTAGGAACATTTCGCTACCAAGTTTGTCATAGGTCCTTTCTGACTTCTCTGATTACTGAAGGGTGTATGTGTGGGGACGCAACCTAATCTTTCGCAATGGCTGTACCAGCCTCCCTCGGTGTACCTTTGCAACACTTCAATGGTGAGACACGTCGCGTAGTAGTAATGTCCATCGCTATTTCAATCCCAGCTTTAGCTGGAACTCATTTCAGGCAGCTTGAAGGTCATTAGCCCAGAAAGCTTGGATGGTGTTCGTTACTGTGGTGAAGGTAATGAGCGGCTATCTTGTCATTGGAGTCAGCTGGGACGTAGTAATCCCGTTTGCGAGCCTTTTGAGTGGATGGTTAGCTACGACATGAACGTTAGCATGTTGCTACAATGCTCACGTCTCGTGTGGACCTTGCTATAAGGTGAATTTTGAATGATAAGGAATTGCGTAAAGCAAAAACTAGCATAGCAGAAGCACCAGATGCATCGGTACTAGATAACCGACTGCTTTGAATGTGTAGCAATCCAAATGACGCTAATACTAAGTAAAAAAGTCATATTATTAGCGCTTCTTGCTTCAAAAAAGCTCTTTTATATTCTCTCCTGGCGCGAGATCGACTTCGCTGTTATAAAAGCGGTAACGGTACGACGAGGTGTCATCATTTCGTTGCAAATGAGTGGAGCGAGTACTCAGTCAAAAGTTGGATACTTCCGAGGGCCATGAAAAGTAAGGAGCGATGGGATCAACAAGACCGAATGGTATGTGGCAGAAACTGGTCCATCATCCGCCACTTTGCACGCAGGTCTCCTAATGGCGTAGGAGTCAGCAAAACGAAAATATTCTACACTTAAACAAGAAAGCTGGGTTGGGAGAACAAAAATGATGTTATTGCAAAGGGGATCTTTCAGTCTCGATCTGTAATATAATACCAGTCATTATGTTCCTGGCAGACTTGAACACGAGAGCCGACCTTCAATGCTTGCGAAGATACACTAGATCATCAGGCCAACAACGCTCCGGGATTATTGGCTATCCGAATCTCTTTCGCAGGGCTGGGTCTCCAAGACGCACGAAAAAGTCGATAGGAATGTGTTCTTTCTAGCATCTACTTTGACGTCACAGCGAGGCTAACCTCAGGTCCGTGAGCCATGTTAAACATTGTGATTCGTCCGGAGTTCAAGCCTGACCCAAGGCATTATCACATCCAGTAATTTTACCACCATCCAGCCACTCTTGAGTCTGACGGACGATATGCGCGGACAAGCTCCACTGACATGTACCACCTAGCCAAGTCTCTGTACTTGCACTTCACGTCCAAGGAAGAGTATTCCATACTCCTTCTCGGCCTGGACAACGCCGGCAAAACTACCCTCCTCGAGCAAATCAAAGCCCTTCCAGCAAATCAAAATGCGACCGCCCATCCGAACCTTAAGACCGTTCCCACTGTAGGCCAGAACGTCGCCACCATAAGCCTACCCGATGTTTATTTGAAGATTTGGGATGTCGGTGGGCAGCACAGTCTACGAGGCTTATGGCAGAAATACTACGCAAGTTGCCATGCCATCGTCTTTGTGATTGACAGCTCTGATATTGGGGACGCCGACATCACCAAGATTTCCTCAAATGAAGACGGTGGTGGTCGGTTAGAAGAGTGTCGAATGGTTTTGGAAAGTGTACTTCAGCACTCAGATGCTGAAGGTGTGCCATTACTCGTCCTGGCCAATAAACAAGACAGAGAGGACTGTGTCGAAGTAGTCAGAATAAAAGAGGGACTTGTGAGAAAGGTTTTCGAGGGTGACAAGGGTGGTAGTGTCAGAGACAGCCGAGTGCTCCCTTGTAGTGCTCTAACGGGCACTGGCGTCGAGGAGGCTGTTGAATGGTTACGGAGTCGTGTCTTGTGGAACAAGGAAAGTCGTCCGCCAATACTAAGGTAGTGGCCTTATACGTGTTGTAATTCCCTGATAGATTCGAATCCGAGATTCAATTCTGGGAGAGATAATGGCGCACGTGAGAAAACACGGCCACATTTGCTGGAGTGTTGTAGGAGAATTTAATTACTCCTTAACGGCTTATATACGAAGATCAAGGCTGATTGGTTTCTCTTTTCCTCTTTAGGAATAGGTATTTATAAGCCCAGAAAAGGCTTATATTTTAAACTTTCTTAGCCTAATGATTATTGATTTAGACTGAAATCTAAGATATTTTTCTATAAATTTTTAGAGATAGGTGTTAGGAATACCTTCCCAGTACCGACTAGCTTCACTAATGTGAACCATTTCAGAAGGGATGAGCTTCCTAGAGCAAAGGAATAACATATAACTAGGGCTTATTATAAAAGGAAATATAATAAGATAGTGTTAGGAATACTTTCCCAGTACCGACTAGCTTCGCTAATATAAGCCACTTCGGAAGGGTTTAGCTTCCTAGAGCAAAGGAATAAGATATAACCAGAGCTTATTATAGAAGGAATATAATAAGATAGTTATATTTATAACTTAGAATAGTATAAACTTTAAGAGTATAAGAATATATTTAAATTAATTACTAGATAAACTAGACAGTTAAATTACAGAGAGCTGTAATATAAATAGGGATAGGATATTTTTATAAACCTAAATTTAATATCCTTATTACCTTATTCATTTAACCTATAATAAATAAAATAATTATTTCTATTAATTAGTAGTATCCTAGTTATTAATTATTAGCTAATATACTTATTCTACTTATTTTTAAGAAAATAATTAAAATAATTAGAATAATACTTATATAACTATTTATATATTACTTTATAATATTATCCCCCTCTTTAGTAAGCTTATCCTAAACTTCAATTTAATATTTAAGGAGTTTAGTAGCTACTAATAGGAAGATAAAGATATCTTTAACTTCTTCTTTTTATTATAAATATCTTACCTCTAAAATTAAGTAGTCTAGAAGTATTATTATACTTAATTATAAATAATACTTAATTTATAGGTTAATTTATATTATAGTATCTTCCTTAAAGAGTATTAAATATATAAATTATACTTATAAGGGTATAAGGTATATTAATATATTATAGGAGCTTCTAAATAAGACTAAAGAGGAGGCTAAATCTAATATAGAGAAAAGTTTTAAAAATTATTTAAGGTATATATGAAGTAGTAATAACTAAATACTAAATAATAAAAACTTTTAATCTAACTTTCTTAAAATTAAAAAATCTTAAAAAGAGCTTAAAACCATATTAAGGTAAAGATAATTTATTTAATAGATAAATTAGAAGAGGAGGAAAAAGTAGAGTAGGTAAAAAATAGTAGTTATTCTAATAATAAATTATATAAATTTATAGATAATCTTATTATCTTTATTTAAGTTATTAAAAATTAAAAGAGTTTAAATATATTAAATTTTTATAATAATATCATAATAGCTTAAATAAATAATTAAAGTTTTTATATAGTTTTTAAGTATTTTCTTTTAGTAGGTAACCTTTCTATTTTATAATATAGAAATACTAATATCTTTTAACTTAATAATTTAAGATCTTTTTAACTTTATATTCTTATTTAGTAGTATCTTTGTGAGGAACGGAGGAGGAACATACGCACGGTACAGCTGCGCTCAGGCCGCGGGTCATATACTCCAGAGGGAAGTAGTATTTAAGCTATATATAATATCTACCTTAATTTAATTCTTTAATTATTAATTTTAATACTAATCTATATTTATTATTCCCTATCCTAATATTATATTTATATTTACCCTTTATAATTCTAATAACTTTTTATTAAAATAAAGGTATAGGTTTAATATTAGGATATTAAAATAATTATATAATAATAATATCTCTATATCTATTATTAAACCAGAATCCTTATTATTAATACTATTAATTAATAAGTAAATTAGGGAATTAAAGAAAAGAGAAACAGACCTTTAAAAAAAAGATCTAACTTAAAAAATTAAAAGAGAGAATAATATAAATAAAGATTATAATTAAAAAATAGTTAACTTATAATATTCCTACTATTATTAAAGATAGTTAATTAGAAAATACTAATATTAAAATCCCTAAATTAATATTACTAAATACCTTACCCTAAAGGAAGGATATCTATTTAAAGGACCTTCTAGAATATAAAAGAAAAATATTATAGAAATATATTAATTAGATTAACTATACTATAAATATATTTTAACTAGTACCTAGGAGATTTATATAAGAAAGTATTTAGGTTATCTAGACCTAATAATTTCTTATTGTCATGGGGTCACCCCTATGACACGTGATTGGCACCATCCTGTTGCCTGTCTGATTAAAGCAGCACCGACATCAGCTAATATAACCTAATATAACCTAATGTTACCTAACGTTAACCAACTGGACTCCTAAACTAAACTGACTTCCTAATTTGATTTCACCGCGCGCGCACCTAAATCCTAATTAGGAAAGGTATAATAAGGCCCCCTTTATATTTTTAGTAAGAACTACTTTTGGGCCTTCCCTTCTTTATATAATATCTTAATTATTATATAATACTTTAGTATAGTATAACTAAATAGATAGTTAATAACCTTATTAATTTACCTTATATAATAACTTAAGTAGATTACTTCTAGTGGTTTTATAACACTATATTATATTAACCATCCTTACTAGCTATAATAATAGAACTGGAGGTAATTATCTATACTATATAGGAATAGATAACTATATAAATTTATATCCTGTAAGAAGCTCTTATATAATAGAATCAGGTAGTACTTACTTTAAGTGAAGAGATAGCCACCTTTAAGTTAGCTCCTGGCTCCCCCCCTAAAATCGCTCTCACTACTCCTAATACTAGTGACTAATAATAAATAGATATATCTACTAAGTCTATAAATGGCTTTGGGCTTACTCTATAGAAGGAACCCCTAATTACTTAAATATAATTATTAGAGAGACTTCCAGATATTACTGAGTTTATAGGTAGACGCAGTTAGCTAGTGGAATAGAAGGCTACTCTAATAAATAAACTTTTAGATAACTCTAACTACTACCCTAGTAAATTAGCTAAGCTAATCTATATGTGAGGAACGGAGTAGGAACATACGCACGGTACAGCTGCGCTCAGGCCACAGGTCATGTGCTCCAGGAGGAAGCAGTATTTAAGCTATATATAATATCTACCTTAGTTTTACTTTTTAGTTATTAGTTTTAATACTAATCTATATTTATTACTTTTTATCCTAATATTATATTTATATTTATCCCTTATAATTCTGATAACTCTTTACTAAAATAAAGGTATAAGCCTGGTATTAAGATATTAAAATAATTATATAATAATAATATTTTTATATCTATTATTAAATTAGAATCTTTATTATTAATACTATTAATTAATAAATAAATCAGGGAATTAAAGAAAAGAGAAGCAGATCTTTAAAGAAAGATCTAACTTAAAGAGCTAAAAGAGAAAGTAATATAAATAGAAGTTATAATTAAAGAGTAGTTAACTTATAATACCTTTACTATTATTAAAGATAGCTAATTAAAGAATATTAGTATTAAAATCCCTAAACTAATACTACTAAATATTCTACTTTAAGGGAAGGATATCTATCTAAAGGACTTTCTAGAATATAAAGGAAAAATATTACAGGAGTATATTAATTAAATTAACTATACTATAAATATATTCTAATTAATATCTAGGAGATTTATATAAGAAAGTATTTAGGTTACCTAGACCTAATAATTTCTTATAAGCTTTTTAAAGATAATTTAGTCTAACTATACTAGAAATAAAGGAGATAAGCTGAGTATATAGGAAGAACTTATAATATTCCTACTTAATAAATTTAAAGATCTAGGAAACTGTAAATTAAGTATCTATATAGTATATACTTAAGTAATTTAAAGAAAGGGCTAAACTATAGCTAATTTTAAAGTATATCTTACCTCTTTAGAAACCTAGATAACCACTATATAGATAGAGAAGGAGAAACGCAATAACCTTATTGCAAAACTTAGATTAGATTTATAATATTATCTAATAAGCCTACTAATAATACTAGAGATATATAGTAATATTATAATACTATTTATAAGATAGGAGAAAACTAAAAAGAAAATAAAGATAGAGATAGCGAATATAGGCTTAAAATGAAAGTTTAGTAATAGTAATATATTTTCTAAATATAATTAGAGTAGGGAACTAGTAAATCCAAAATATAAGTTAAAAGACCCTAAACTATCCACTAATAAAAAGAAAAAATTAAAAATAAGATATTATAAGTATAATAAATTTAGATATATAGCATGAGACTATTATAAGCTAAAGGGAGAAACGACTGATAAGGGAAAAGTATTAGAGTTATATTAATTTCTATATATATAACCTATATAGAACTTAAAGTTATAGGGAAAGTAATTAATATAAGTAGGATAATTAAGGGTCTTACTAATAGTAAGAATATTAAAATTATATTAGATTTAGGAGCTGATGTTAGCCTAATAATACCAAGACTTGTAGAAGAGCTTAACCTCCTAAAAGCAGATATACACATACCTTACCTATATTAGGGGGGTGTTATAGATATTAACTGCTTTAGGGTATATAAAATCAAACTATATTTAGAAAACTTAAATAAAGTTAAAAAGACTATACTAGTAATTATATTTATAGTAGATTAAGGGTAATTATATATTATTCTAGGTATACCTACTATAAAGTAATAAGATATTCTTCTTAATATAGGATAGGAGAAGTAGTACTTTAAAGATATAGTACCAATAATATATATAATAAGTGTAGAGGAAGAAATTAATAAAGATAAATACTATAGTATACTCCTCCTAAATATAGAGCTAAAAAAGGTGTAAGTGGAACATATACTACTTAATAAATTATAAGATTTTATAAATATCTTTAAAAAAGAAGCTATAATAATATTACTAAGCTATAAAAGTATAAACCATATAATTAAAATAATAGCAGAACTACTATACTATCTAATCTACTATATATTAGTAAAGGAGCTTAAGGTTTTTAAAGAATATCTCAGTAAGGCACTATAGAATAGGTGGATAAGGCCCTCCATAAGCCCTGTAGGCATACCTATTCTATTTATGCTAAAGAAGAATAGTAAGCTATACCTATATATAGACTATAAAGGCCTTAATAAGGTTACTATTAAAAATAGATACCTTTTACTACTTATTTCAGAAATCCTGGAC